AGACTGATCCTTTGCTTTCTTCAATCAGCTCGGAAGCCGGTTTATACAGAAACTGAAAGACTGAAAATGTGTATATAGTATTTGGTTGTTTGGTGCTGGGTGTGGATGAATATAATATTTGAAACATATTGCTGGGACAGTAAAGTTTCAGTTTGTTTTACCATTTTGTTCTGGGATGTCTCATTTTCTGTTTAATGTCTATTTCAATTAAAAAACACACACAATGATTTGTAGGCAGACTTTTGCACTTAAGAAAATTTCTGTGTAACTTCGGATCATTTAGTTACATGTTTAATGTTGCACTTGTCTTGTTCATTCACATAGAGTCGTTCATGTAGGGTAGGTGTCCTCAGCCTGGCAACCTGCATGAGCTTCAAGTCTGATGAAGAGGGAGTATATCAATTTCTATTGTTCCAGTATATTAGTAGTATATTTACAAATACTGTACAATCAAGTATTTTTGCAGAGCTATTTTGTGGTTACTCGTACTACAGTGTACTCAAATACATGCTTAGTATACCAAATTAGCATACACTGTAACATACTCTGCCTTTTAATAGATGCATATTAATGCCTATTTTAATAATAGTATTAGATTAACTCAGTGGTTCCCAGCCCTGGTCCTGGAGAACCCCATGGCATGTACATTTTATTTGATTTCCTGCTACCAACACATCTGATCCATCTCATCACAATAGTAATCTCTGTATTCTCTCAGGATGCATTTGTGTTGGCTCAACAAGTGTTACTCATATTAAGTAGCTCCTACCGGAAATGTTTTAGCTTTACATAGAATGTAGTAGTGTGTGCAACACAATAAAACACTCAGGAAAATGCCTAAAAGGAAAAAATAATTATGAGTGATGCAAACATTTAGTTAAATGTAAGTCAATTCCACACAGTATTATAAGCGAACATTGTCTGTGGTGTGGTGCGCGTTGATCACGTGATCTAATGCTGCAGGAATTCAAACTATGCTTTGAGGGAGTTTCTGTTGTCTGCTCTGACATTGTGATTGTGACATTGCTGTTGTGAAGGCTATTTCGACTGTCACAGTACTTGTTGTACTGTGATTTGTATCACTAGCACTGCTTCCAAGCCCCCCAGCTCAAAGTAAGATATCTGAGTTTGTGTATGCAGTCACTGTCACTGGGGAAATTCCTTTCCCAGTTGCTATATATATATATATATATACATACATACATCATCTAAACCGCTTATCCTTCTGGGTCGCGGTGGGGTGCTGGAGCCTATCCCAGCTGTCATTGGGCGGAAGGCAGGATACACCCTGGACAGGTCGCCAGTCCATCGCAGGGCAGACAGACAGACATACACAGTCACTCACACCTAGGGGCAATTCAGCACGTCCAATCAGCCTGACTGCCTGTCTTTGGACTGTGGGAGGAAACCGGAGTACCCGGAGGAAACCCACGCAGACACGGGGAGAACATGCAAACTCCACACAGAAAGGACCCTGGTCACCCGGCCGGGAATCGAACCCAGGCCATTCTTGCTGTGAGGCGACAGTGCTACCCACTGTGCCACCGTGCCGCCCTCTATCTATCTATCTATCTATCTATCTATCTATATATCTATCTATCTATATATATATATATATATATATATATCTATCTATATATATATATATATATATATATATATATATATATATATATATATATATATAGATAGATATATATATTGCTTCTGCATTATTAAAATGTTATGAATCTGTTTATAGCTGAAACTGGTTGTGGGACTATTCTTGGTGGATATGTCTATATTCTATATGTACATACAAAGGTAAAATGTCTTCTGTTTCAAACTAAATTAAAGTAATCATGTGTGGTTATTTCTTATTTAGGAAAGGCAACCCACCCTTTACTAAGTTCTGTTAACCTCATTCCTTGGTCAGTGAGTGTTACAAGTTTGTTAGCTAGCTAGCATGAAGTCAGACATGAGTATAAAGCTTAACAATATTAACAATATTGGTTTGTTCATGGTAAAAAAAAATCTTTCTTTGAGAATAATTTATAAATGTCAGTCAACTGAATTTGAATGTTCTCTATATATCTATGCTGCTAACTTTGCCATCTAGTGAGCTGTTCAAAGCTTAGCCAGTTAGCTTTAGGTACAGTAAGAGTCTTAGTTACATTTACTCAGCTTACCTAAAAAGTGTATGGATTTGAAATTCTTTGAGTAAATTCAAATGACAGCTACTCAAGTAGCTTTTGTGTGAAGAAAACAATCCACATTTTTATTCAGCTCCACTTCATATTGAAATCTTAATTCTGGTTTTCACTCTGTTGGTGCTGGTTCAGCTTTTATTTTAGACTAAAAGGATCTTAAAATAACCTGGCTATCAGCGGAGATTCCCAGAGAGGCCATTGGGCCTGCGGGCTTCTCTGTGCACCGTGCGGACAGAACAAAGGACCTCTCCAGGAAGAGTAAAGGGGGAGGTGTATGTTTTATGATCAACAAGGATTGGTGTGATCTGAGAAATGTACATTTCATTGAGTCTTTCTGCTCCCTGGACTTGGAATATCTAATCATCTTATGCAGACCGCTATGGCTGCTGAGAGAGATTTCAGGGTTCAATGTCACCGCCGTGCACATCCCACCACAGTCTGATACAGACCTGGCACTCGGGAAGCTGCACAAGGCTATTAACAGGCAGGAGACTGCGTGCCTGAAGGCCGCCTCCATTGTTGTTTGGGAACTGTAACAAAGCGAACTTTAGGGAACTCGCTCCAAAGTACTTCCAACATATCTCATGCAGCACACACAAGTCATGCACGCTGGACCGCTGCTACTCCCCCTTCCGTGAGGTGTACAAAGCCCTCCCCCAACCTCCAATTTGCATATCAGATCATATCTCCATCCTGCTCCTGTCCACCTATAGGCAGAAGCTGAAAAGCTTCATCAGCACCATCAGAGAGGTCCACTGCTAGTCGGATTCTGGTCTCCAGGACTGCTTTGATGATGCAGACTGGGAGATGTTCCGGGAGGCATCAAACAATAACATTGATGAATACCCAGAATGTGTTACCGGATTCATCAGAAAGTGCATAGAGGATGTTGTGCCCACAAAAACAGTTTACCCCTATCAGAAACCATGGCTTAACTGTGAAGTTCGTGCAGCTCTGAATGCACGTACCACTGAAATTATGAAACGGAGCTATGGGCCTGTCACTACACCTCTGAATCGTCATTATAATGATGTCCATGGACATTCCACACTGCATCTACACCTCAAACGGACTCACTGTGATCTCACTGATCATACTTACACATATAGATTGACATCTTGTACATCTTCTATCTGTATCTTGTAGAATCTGGGCACATTCTAGCAGTGCTGCTGGAGTAATCAAACATGATTTGATTTTATTCAATTTGAAGTTGGGCCCTTCAAGTGGACCTGCAGCTATTCATACAAGACTGGGGTCGACACTCAAGGGCCTGCCAGACTGGTGAAACAACAGTTATCCCAACAGCGCCTTCACAAATCAGTTGCTCCTAGTGATATAGAATTGTTCCAGTGCATGGAGAAATTATGGCAAATTAACACCATGCCATTTCAGGAATGCAATCAATCAAACCAAGACTGTGATATGGTATGGGACCCCTCTACTACATAAGTGGGACATGGCTTTACTTTGTTCAGTTGCTGTAGTGTTACCACTAATCAGGAGAACAGAGTGGAAGCTTGACCCCTAATGTGCAGCAGCCTATAATGCAGAAATTCAGAAGTTACTTCGGTCAGGGGATGTGGTGAAGCTTGAATGGGAGCCTGTAAATGAGAGAGAATCTTGGTTTGTCCCACATCATATGGTCATGCACAATGGCAAAATTGAGTTGTATTTGACTGTTCTTTCAAGACAGGTGGGGTTAGTCTTAATGAGTTGCTCCACCCTGGGCCCACCCTTGGCTGTTCACTGCCTTGGAGTCTTACTTCGCTCCAGAGAACATGCTGTCAGTGGGGATAAATGGGCGATGTACCACAGAGTTCACCTCTTGCCTGAGGACAGACTTCTGGAAATGGAAGGCCAGGCCAGTTAATTCCAAGATTACTGACTTTCCTGAGTCAAGGTTGCATTTGTTCAAACCAGCATTTCATTCTACCGAAATGGATTGTTTTAGCCCATTCCTTGTGAAGAAGGGGTCAGTGCTCAGAGAAAAGGTGGGGGGTTCTTTACAAGTGCCTGACCAAAAAGGTTCTATACATAGAGATTCTGCATAGCTTGGACACTGACTCATTTTTGACGCTCCTCAGGAGGATCATAGCACGATGGGGTACCCCTGTGGAGTTAGAACCACGTCAGTACCAAGTAGTTCAAAGCCTTACTTGGAATCCCTGTGAAAGCTATAGTTCTGGCAGTAGACCCTCAGCAGCCAAGGGCACAGTGGCCTGTGAGCACAGTAATGAAGGTGCATCCCAGCTGAGATGGTCAAGTGAGGTCAGTGGATGTTCGCAGACATGGAAAAATCTACACTAGACCCAGAGCTTGACTCATAGTGCTTCCTCCGGTGACTGATGAGGACAAGCCCACTGTGCAGAACACAGCTCCTGGCTTAGCCAGCCCTAGTAGTGTGGCGAATTGTGGTAGCAATTCATGGGTGGCTGTTAAGATGGCTGGGGGTTCGTTGTCAGTTTGCCCCCAAACTGATTAGAAAACAGACTGGAAGCTTGTGGTGAATCAGGATTCAAAGTGAAACTATGAGGAGAGCTAATGGAGATTTATTATTTCTTTCATTCAAACACTCTCATGCACTGCTGTTGAGCTGGAGCCAAATATGTTGAAGGAAAATGTTTCTTACCTAAATGAAGTATCTTTTCTGCAGACCTTTTCATTTTAAAACCTATACATGTAATTCTAAAAAAAAGATTATAGAACGTTTGTTTATTTAATTTTATTTTTTGTGCTGGTCATAAGAAATAGCACAGAAATCTTATCTTTTTAAAAATTATATTAAAAAAACAATACTTTTACAGCATTTGGTGAACATACAGTATATATAAATATTAAATACTGAGAAGAACAGATATTCATTCATCATGATTGACAACTGAGATGATCAGTGGAGCTGAATTTTCACCTCCATCATTATTACTGGGGCTGAAGAATGGATAGAGTTTCTCAGTGAAAGACTGACCAGTGAAAGAGTGGATATGAGATCTGGCCTCCACATCATAAAAGGAGACCAGACCTTCCTCATAATCCACAAACACTCCCACCTTCTGGGGCTTCTCTTTTAGGGAGAGGATGACTGAGGGACCAGCAAGAGCTCTATACTCATGCCCCTTCCGCAACCACACAGTCCAGAATCCATTCTGTGGGTTCAGTGTAATCTCCCCCTTCCTGTTAATGGACTCTCTGGCCACTCCTAATATCCACTTAGTCTTCCCCCTGACCTGCACCTCATAGTAAAATTTTCCTGAGAAGAATCCCTCCCTTCCCAGAACATTGGGCCATCTATCAAATCTCTCTGGGTTGTTAGGAAGATTCTGTTTTGTGTCTCCACATCTCACTTCTTTTCCATCATCAGACAGGATGAGATAGGGGTAAGCTGTATCAGCATCCAGAGTCACATCAACTGAGAGAAACAGAAAATAAGACATTTTGCAACAAAACTAATGAATCACTCAGCTGTTTACATTTAATTGAAGGTGTGGAAAACAGTTTGTGGAAGATTGTTAAAATACTGTTGTGGTGATCTATGTGTAAATTGTTGAAGGATCTAAATGTATGTTTGCAGTGTGTGTCATAACAGAGCCTTTGCTGGAGCAATTGGGCCAGATTCAGAAACAGCGCTGCACCATGCAAAATGTGAGGCACAGTATATAAAAGCTGTTCAGGTCACCATGGTGGTGAGTAGTGTCTTTTAAACACTTCAATATTTTCACCAATGTCCTACATAAGAGCGAATCAGTCAATCAGCCAATCAATCTTGATAGCCAGATCATGCCTCACATCACACAAGCAGTAAAACACAACAGTAATCCTCATTTTAAAAAATAAGCCTTACCACCACACTATTTGTTCTTAAACTCACAGTAAATCTGACAGTGCATTTTATGAATCTGGCCCACTGAGGGTCAGTGTGTATGTGTATCTGTGTGTGTGTCTTACACCTGAAAGAATCTAGTGATGTTTCTAATTGATCTATATTAACATGACAAACGGGATCTGTTTCTTGTGTTAAACACATTTACTGTTTCATATGTGTTCTGTTTTAAAGCTGCTAGATTTACTAAACAGTATCATCTTACAGATAAAGACAGAGATAGAAAAGGATTCTTACCTGAAGACCTTTTCTTCTTTACAAGCTCTGTAAGCACAAATAATGAAGCAATGTTTTATATTAGTTCATTAAAATACAGTTCAACAACATTCATAATTCATGTATTTATGCACATCATGGAAGTCTGTTTGCAGCACCATATTAAAGTATGTGTGCTCACTGCCCCCTAGTGTGTATGTGTTCGCTAGTGTGTATGTGGTGTTTCACTGCACGGATGGGTTAAATGCGGAGGTCTAATTCTGATGTGTTCAGACACAGTTGGCTAAAAAGGTTTATTTCATTCATTTCATTTCATTCATTCATTAAGTGATCCTATGTGCATTAATGACAGTCTAAACTGCCTCCCTAATCTCTTTTTATTCATCTATTTTTTTTTTTTATTTTGAAAATTTACAAGCTGAGACATAATTATCATCTTTCACCCTCTTTCTGTGTATTTCTGATAACAGAAAAAATCAACAGTTCATTTCAAGGTGCCATAGAATGGAAAACTGCATTTACATTAGCAAAGTTAAACAAGGAGAGTGCAGCACCATTTAAGGTATAACTGAAAATTATTAAAACAAGCTGGTGAATAGGAGGCTTTGCACATTTCACTCCAGGCAGTTTCTCAAGCCTTGGACAATATCAAGATCAGTATCAATTTAAAAGGGCAAAAGCAGTTCTCCTTACCTGAATACACTTTTTCCTTTTGAAGCTCTGAAAGAGGTAAAATCAGTTAATGTATTTTTGTGTAAATGTCTCTATATGTAGTTGGATTAAGCATCATGATGCACAAATCACATCTTTTAAAAGAATAAATCGTAATAAATTAAATTATTATATTAAGAAGTTACATTTGGTTGGAGCAAAAATTGAGCATCACAGGGAGGTTAATGTATTAATATTGTGAGATATATAAATCTCACACTGTAAAATCAGTTCACAAGCACAAATCTTCATCAAGGCATGAAAAACGTACCTTCCTGAAGTCTTTTCCTCTCAGCGTCTGCAAATATTCAAGAACAAAGATCATTTTCAATGAGATTGTAATGTCATAATAGAACACAAGTATGAACAGCTTACATTCTAAATGGTCATCACATACAGCGATTGATTATTGTAAATAACAACTTCCTGCAGATACTAAAACATGAATTGTGTATATTCTGTTAAAAGCATGTTCTTTTTTGTCGGCTGCTCATTCATAGTCTCTGTGTAAATTCTGTGTAAGTTCTTCATAATTTACAGACAATAAGTGATCATCTATTTTAATTTTTAAATGAGAATTTTGGCAAAACCAATTCCAAAACAGTTGGGACAGTATATGAAATGCTAATTAAAACAGAAAGCAGTGAATTATTAATGCATGTTCACCTGTATTTGAAAGAAAACAATACAAAGACAAGAGTTTTAATGTTTCACCATAACAACATCACTGTGTTTTGTAAACATACATGCATTCTGAAGTTGATGCCTGCAACACATTCCAAAAAACTTGGAACAGGGGAAATTCAAGGCTAGGAGTGTTGTTCAATGTTCAGAAAACATTTTAAGAGGTGAGGTAATCATGCTTGGGTGTAAAAATAAAGCATCCAGGGAAGGCCTAGACTTTCATAAGCAAGGATGGGTCGAGGCTGATCACTTCAACAACGCAGTCAACAACATTCAGAAATGCTGCTCACTTCTCTGGGCTCAAGCTCATCTGAAATGGACTGACACACAGTGAAAAGAAATATTATGTACATGTTAAAGCTGCATGGTTTAGTAATTAGAGAGTCTGGTCTGCCTGTCTCCTACAGAAAACGTTGCACATTATGAAATGGAAAATACGACAACAAAGGCCCCATACGCTTATGCAGCTAAAGAATCATATAACTGGAAAATGGCAAAAATTCTGCTTTTAAAACTGGACCACTTGGTGTCTTCAGTCTCCAAATGTTTATTAAGTGCTGTTAAAAGGAAAGGAGATATAACACAGTCTTAAACATGATCCTATTCCAACTTTTTTGAACATTTTGCAGGCATCAAATTTAGAATGAGAATTTTTTTAGAAATACATTTTATAAGGTAAAACATCAAATATTGCTTTTTTTGTACTGTTTTCAATTCAATACAGAATTTATAATACAGTCAAACAGAATTTACTAATCATTGCTTTCTGTTTTTATTAGCACTTCATATACTTTCACAAATTTTTGGAAATTGTCTTTATATATCACATCTCACAAGCTAGATTTGAGTAGTACAATAGAAATGCAACTTCCTCTAAACTATTCCACTGCACATACCAATGATTTTATTATCAAAGACATTACATAAATAATTACATCATTTAATGTGTAACCGAAAATTCTCAAAACAAGCTGGTGAATAGGAGGCCAACTTCAGCTCCCACTTTTCACTCCAGACAGTTTCTCAAGCCTTGGACAATATAAAGCAGGCTTCACTTAGTATTTCACACTAAAGAAACTAGGGGCAGTTCACAGTTTATTAGCGTCACAACCCCAACAACAACCTGTTCGTAGCAGCCATGCTGTCTGATTTTATCCACTTTTTGACAGCTGAAGCCAGATCATCTTAAACTACAGGTTCATAGTGAGCTCACAGCTTAAGTTTACTTTGTGTTGTTGTTGAGTTTGAATGCAAGCAATTAGTGTGGGTAATGCTAGCTACTAGCAAACTCCAAGTAATTAGCATAGCTAAGTAAATAGTCTACTATGAAGACCTAGCTTATTTACATAGAGGTTCATTTTATTTTCCTGATGTGTCTACTTCGACATTCTGTGTGAGCTAAAGCAGTGCCTCACTGTAAACCAGCAAATCAGAGCAGTGCTTATCAAATTTTGTATGAGCCCAACAAAAAAGAGAAAACTGCTTGTTTCATTCTAGGGCCACATCATAGGATTTTAAATAGGCGTGTAAAACCGCATGTGGTAATATTTCATCGTGACTGGTCACATACCTTCTGTGTCGACATCATGTTTATTTTGTTTAATTTATTTATCAGTATCAATTCAAAAGGGCAAAAGCAGTTCTCCTCACCTGAATACACTTTTTCCTTCAGAAGCTCTGAAAGAGGTAAAATCAGTTCATGTATTTTTGTGTAAATGTCTCTATATGCAGTTGGATTAAGCAATATAATGCACAAATCACACCTTTTAAATGAATAAATCATATTAAATTATAATTAGGTTATTATTATATCATAAAATGTAACTTTTTTGGAGCAAAAATTGAGTAACATATCACAGGGTGGTTAATGTATTAATATTGTGAGATATATAAATCTCACACTGTAAAATCAGTTCACAAGCACAAATCTTCATCAAGGCATGAAAAATGTACCTTCCTGAAGTCTTTTCCTCTCAGCGTCTGCAAATATTCAAGAACAAAGATCATTTTCAATGAGATTGTAATGTCATAATAAAACACAAGTATGAACAGCTTACATTCTAAATGGTCATCACATACAGCGATTGATTATTGTAAATAACAACTTCCTGCAGATACTAAAACATGAATTGTGTATATTCTGTTAAATGCATGTTCTTTTTGTCAGCTGCTCATTCATAGTCTCTGTGTAAATTCTGTGTAAGTTCTTCATAATTTACAGACAATAAGTGATCATCTATTTTAATTTTTAAATGAGAATTTTGGCAAAACCAATTCCAAAACAGTTGGGACAGTATATGAAATGCTAATTAAAACAGAAAGCAGTGAATTATTAATGCATGTTCACCTGTATTTGAAAGAAAACAATACAAAGACAAGAGTTTTAATGTTTCACCATAACAACATCACTGTGTTTTGTAAACATACATGCATTCTGAAGTTGATGCCTGCAACACATTCCAAAAAACTTGGAACAGGGGAAATTCAAGGCTAGGAGTGTTGTTCAATGTTCAGAAAACATTTTTTTGAACAATGTTCAATGAAAACGTGTATTGTGATCTGTTGAGTGAATCTTTCAGATTGTTTATGAAAATGTGTTCCCCAGGCCAAAGTAGAAAAGGATCATTGTTACCAGCATAAAGTTCAAAAGCCAGCGTGTGTCATGGTATAAGGCATTAGTGCTCATGGTACCATTAATGCTCATTTTGGAGCAACATATGCTGACATGACAACTCCAAGAAATATTCTGCACATGTTAAAACTGCATGGTATAGTAATTCAGTGAGTACATTCTGCCTGTCTTATACAGAAAAAAGTTGCATATTATGAAGTGCAAAATATGACAACAAAGGTCCCATATGCAGCTAAAGCCTTGCATAATTGGAAAATGGCAAAAAAATTCTGCTTTCAAAACTGGACCACTTGGTGTCTTCAGTCTCCAAATGTTTATTAAGTGCTGTTAAAAGGAAAGGTGATATAACACAGTCTTAAACATGATCCTATTCCAACTTTTTTGAACATTTTGCAGGCATCAAATTTAGAATGAGCATTTTTTACAAATAGTACAACAACAGTACCACATCAAATATTGCTTTTTTTTTTACTGTTTTCAATTCAATGCAGGTCAAACAGAATTTACTAATCATTGCTTCCTGTTTTTATTAGCATTTCATATACTTTTCATAAACTAATTGGGTTTATATATCACATCTCACAAGCTAGATTTGAGCAATACAACAGAAATGCAACTTCCTCTAAACTATTCCACTGCACATAACAATGATTTTATCACATTAAATAAAATATATATATATATATATATATATATATATATATATACACACACACATACATGTGTATATATAAAAATAACTGGATGTAGCCAAGAGTAAGATTATGCGCTGGAACAAAGTAAAATTCTTCTGCTGTTACTACTTTTGTGAGAGTTCAAAACAGCTCTGTAAATGTACATCTGTGGTATCATTAATGGAAATAATCACAATCAATATTACCTATAAACATTACCTTTCTTATGATAAATAACAGCAACTGCAATAGATCCCATAGCAATTATTATTGCTAAAACGGAAATGACGGCGACAACAGACGTCCAAGAATTAAAAACTTGACCTGAAATTCAAACCAGTGATAATTAATATGTAATGTTGAAATTGGGTTGACACTGTAAAAGCAAAGTGAAAATTCACAATTTAAATTTGAATATAATTAATAATAGATTTAATCATGTACACTTACTAGAGATGATGATTTCTGTCTCTCTCATGTGGTGTCTCTGCTGAAGTCTGCAGTAGAATCTGTTGGAGTCACTATTATAAACAGTGATGCTGCATTTCACTCTGAAGCCCTCAGTGTCTCTGTGTGTCTCTGTATCTTCAGCAGTCAGAGTGACCCCTTCTCTGTCCAGCCACAAAACCTCAGGTTCAGGATTCCAGTCTCTAGATTCACATGCTAGATTGATCCCTCCTGAGTTGAAGCCCTCCATAGTGATCACTGGGTGAGTTCCTAGAGCTACAGAGAATAAAATGGTGGGATGAAATCGCATCATGTTATTTTATTTAAGTTAAAGCAAAATATAACTAAAATTAAAATTAAAATATAGGTTCTATTTGTAATATTTCTCTGCTTATTTTCAGTCTATTACCCACATTTGTCTCTAGTCTTTATGTTACTGTAATTATAACAATACTGTTTGATGTTTATACTGTATTGTACAGGATAGTTTTAATGATCCTGAATTTTCTGTTCCTGCACATTTTCAATTGTTTAAACAGTAAATTCAAATTGCTCACACAAAACACTGAAGGTGTTTGGGGAAAATGAACAATAGAATCATTGGGTCTTCTAACTCTTCTAATAGGATGTAATGTGTTCTTTTACAGTTGCCCTAAAATAAACAGCCTATCAATTAAGCAAGTGTTTCTTACCCTTAACAATGACATTAACTGTAATGTCATCATACCAGGATTTGTCCTTAATGAAACATTTGTAAGCTCCTTCATCTGAGACTCGGACTGCTGAGAGTTTGAGTGAAGTGTTGCCTTTTAGAAGCTCCTCTCTGAACAGTGCTGTTCTTCCTCTGTATGACTGATCCTGGTTTTCATTTTTGTCTTCATTATCCTTGTAGAGATGAACTAATGAGTCCACCACATTTACTCTGGACCACTCTACTCTCATATCCACAGCACTGGTGCTGGGTTGGATAGAGCAGGGCAGAACCAGATCTTCACCAGCTTCAGCAACAAGAAGAGCAGCTGGACCAACCACCTTAAAATGCTCTGTACAGAGAAACATCCAGAAACAAAGAAAACTGACTAAACAATATGTCCTTTGATTTTAGGTTTTTGTTCTGTTGTCAGATTCATTTTTGAGGTATAGAAGTAACATGAAAAGAAAGAGGTTTGTGTGTTAAATTTATACCTGATTTAGATTCCATACAGCTGTAGAGAATCAGCAGAATCACACAGAGGAACTTCATTTCTGAAAATAATAACACTTTTTTGGTGAATTAAGGTAATTTGGGTCATGTTGGTATCTTTGAAAGCTTTCTCCTCCACAAACTCTAAACTAATCTCTATGGCAGGGGTGTCCTATCTTATCCGCAAAGGGCAGGTGTGGCTGCAGGTTTTCACTCCAAACAAGCTGAAACACACCTGATTCTACCTGTTTAATCAGTTGGTCTTAGTCTTCAAACATTTCATCAGGTGACCTCCTGCTTTGTTGGAGTGAAAACCTGCAGTCACACCAGCCCTCTGCGGATAAGATTGGACACCTCTGCTCTAAGGTTACACTGTAAAAAAAAAAAAAAAGGTTAATCAGTTTAATCTAAAAACTGTATTTCATGTGGTAACAAGTAAATTAACTAATTTTATTCAACTCAAAAATGACTTTGATTAAATGAATAATTCATTCAACGTAAAGTTTAGGTTGAATAAAACTAGCTAATTTACTTGTTACCACATGAAGTAGCACATGAAGAAGAATTCTGTTTGGGTCTTCAGGCTTCTAAATAGCTCACATTTTCTCTGATTATCTATAACCATTTTGTTGCTGGTCGTGCTCTTCCTCTTTCACCTTCCTGTAAACTGCTCCAAGCATAAATGCCTTTTCCAATGAATTCTTTCTTCTCATAATACCTGGACAAACCTTTTCTATAAGAGCCATGCCTTTAATTTGGGCCATAAATGTCACAACTTGGTCAAAACATGAGGTAAAAAAACCCACCCAAACAATAATGCTAACTTCTGCTGGCATCTCTATAGGATTCTAGTAGTTTGTGAGTGCTAAGCTAATGAGATTCACATTAACACTTTCTGATGATGTGGAAGTTAGCTTCTTGTTCGAATTTTCTGTTCTGCCTTAAATGCTGCATTTAGGCAACAGAGTGTAACTGCTGCAACATTTAAGGTGGGATGGAAAATTTAAAAAGGCAACTATAGATTAAACTCAGACATATGAAGCTTCTTTAAGACGGTCCATGTTTTGTCTGGTCCAAGCTTGTGGCAGACATATTAGCATATATTTTACCTTGTAGTAGTTTCACAGTGTCTTTTTCAGTAGAGAGCCCTGATGTAGAGCTGCTGCCACTGTTCCCCATTTCTAACAACCCATTGATCAAGCTACCACTTATATTTAGTGACATATCTTCCAAAAGCCCTAGAGTTGATAGGACTTCAGTTGAGCTCTAGAAGTCGTAACCAACAGCAGAGCTCACTTGGCTAAATCTGTCTATATACCAGAGAGAAACAGTATTACTGATTGGCCAGTTTTCCACTGTGTTTGCCTTATGAATGTAAGCCTTATGTTTCCATCCAAAACTTTACAATGAAATGTAAGCAGTACCATAACAGTGGCAGAGTTCAAATACAAACATAATTCTACTGAAAAAAATTAACAAAACATTACAAACATGCATTTTTTTATCATTAGAAGGCCTTTAGGGTTCCCTGCTACATAATATATCCAAAAGAGTAGAGCTTCTGTGCTTCGAGTGAGAGCTGAGGCTTGATTTGGCTATGTTTATTTTCTTTGTTAACCAAAGAAAACTCTTGTCCTCTTAAAAGTCTTCTCCAGTACCAAAGTTCAAAGGCATCAATATTTTTTCCTGTCTTGCTTTTTTACTGTCCAGCTTTCATGTCCATAAAAAAAACACAGAAAAGACCACAGCCTGGATAATTTGATATTCTCATCTTTTTATAGAGACACATTATTACATCTGAAGATCTGTTCAAGCTCCTTTATTCTTGTTTTTTTCATAATGAGCTAATGACCCATCTTTTCATTCTGTTCATTAACTTTTCTTATGAGGGCCATCAGGTCTTCCTGCTTTTCCAATGTTCAGTCCTGGAGGAATTGTTTTTTATTCTTTTATCACTCACCTTGATGTTCTTTTAGTTAGTTTTCTTACAAGGGAAAATTTTCATTTTGCTGCTTAACTATGTCCAATCTGGGAGCAGCACAGCGATGCCAGCTGAGCACCACTGTTAGTTGCCTTGCCCAAGGGCACAACCTGGAACTTACCAGATAAGTGGGATTAACAGATGGAAGGAAAGTTTTTTTTAGTTTTGACAGTTTTGTTATGTCTGGTAAATTAATGCAAAACACAATTAATTTAACATAGTTCTATATTGTTTGAACCAGACAAGCTAAAAGCCTAAATACATAAATATATATACATCAAAACATGTATCACTGGCAAATTGATTTTTTAAGTAGAACAGCAAATATCAGCATGATAAAATTTAAATGTGTGTTATTTATGTTACCTCCGTAGTATGTTTTTGATTAATGTGTGAATAACAATTTATAATGGGAGGTATGGACACATGAACACAACATGTGGAGGTGGCATATTAGCCTGGAAAGCTCTCACTGTGAGTTATTTACATTCTTTAAAGTGGTGCTGTATTACAGCCACCAAGAGAGAGATTAAAATTAGATCAGCATGAATTCTGTGATTTACATTCACAGCGCAGTAACTTAAAAAAAGTTCTGATGAAAAGAAGTTACTGTTATAGTGCAAAATCTGGAGAAATATCTGTTTGATTGCTGTCAGAATTTGCAGATGATCAAGCTATGAAAATACAAGATGATGACCAGAAGCATGTTTTACTTGAATCTGTAGACTGCAGTCGTACACAAAAGAGGCACGCCTGGTAAAATCAGGTTTTGTTGATTTTCTAAGTGAAAATAAGTAACACATGCCCTACAGAAACACACTTCTGCACATTTCAATGTACAATTACTTGTTTATTTGTTGGCCCCTCTACATGACTAAATTGACAGTTGGTGTACCTGGCTCTGTATGTTTAGTGGTACTGACAATTTAGCAGCCATGTTTTGAATAAACTGAAATCTCAGAAGGGTTTTTGAAGGCAGATCAGTGAAGAAGGAATTAATTAATCAAGTCAAGAAGTAAGATGTTTCTGCAGTTTCAAACCAAGTAGCTTAGGTTCAGTTTGTTCAGTAACTTTAGTTTCATCAGTATTTATTGTTAGAAAGTTAGCCTTTATCCCATTCTTTAACAAAGAAGTATGTTATCACAAAATCACAAATCAGTGGGAGATAATAATAATAATAATAATAATAATAATAATAATAAGTGAATTTGCACGGTTATTGATTGTGTTAGAACTTCTAAAGTCAAAAAATCTCCAAAGTCAGACAGTCCTATTTTTCAATGTAATGACACAAAGTCTGTGAGTGTGAGTGTGAAACATTACAGACATCACTCGTGGAGTTCTGATTCTGATCTCATTCCTTTAAACAAGCTTTTCAGGTTAAATTAACTGACATGTCACGTGTCATTAAGAAAGCTGTATGAAGCAATCAAACATACCAAACTTATAACAAGTTTCACACTTCAAGCTCTGCTTACAGCAAATGATTTTACGTCGATTTTCATGGCTTTTGAGTCGGAAATAAACTTTCACGATTAAAAACAAACAAACAAACAAACACTTTCGCTCGAGTTACTAACAGACAATCAGAGCTGTGAAAATGTTCGATTTGAACCAATTTCGTTCATCAGGATTTGCAGTTATAAGAAAAAGATTTCGGAAGCAAAGCTCAGAGGTGTAATTCTGATAGATTTTGGAGTATTTCTGTGACATTCAGATATTTCATTTCTCACCAGAAAGCAAGACACATACCAAGAGATGAACAAGCTAAACACCAGCAGCAGCACATAAAGCAAATCACACTGTGACAAATAGGACCTAAAAAGCGGTTGCCAAACCCCCGCAGTTTTTTAAATTCATTGTTATATAGTAATGAAGCACAAACTCTTAACATTTATCGTGCTTAACAGATCAAGCGTGTATTCATCCAAACTTAATATTAGAATACATACCTGTTACCTGTTGTCCTCAAACTCTCAGTAAAGACTTTCTGAGAGTTACCTTTCATTTTCATTTTTAGTCCCCACCCACACACATAATACAGACACGGCTCACACAGACTTCTCCGGTTTATACCAGTAAGCAGGAATTCTGAACACCAGTACATGTTAGTCAAATTAAAAGTTGCTCAGATGTTGTGCGAAAACTACACACATAAAACAGATCACAACAAAACAGATTATCAGTTTAAAAAAAAAAACAATGGAAACAACTTCACAGTTTGTCTTGTGCTTTCTTTGATTATCCACTAGTTAAATCTGCCACATATTATTGCTGAGTTAATTGAAAGATCCTAGAACATTAACTGTAGAAATTATGCTGTAGCTCAGAAGGCGTATTAACTCTGTGCTTTTCAGACATTCAGATACTGTTTATTCATCTCACACACACACACAAAAAAAACACTCCATTCCACTGATATAGTGGTCAGATTCTTAGCCTGGCTTTGCACTGAAAAGCAGGAAACTCTCAGAAAGTTTTCCAAGCAGCCATGGCTTCTGTATCAACAGAGGCTAACTGTCATTTAACCCAGCATATTTCCAAGTTTACTTCTTTACTTAGCTTTATCCAGTGAGTACTACAGACAGTATAGAGAAAGAGAAAATGAGCCACCACAAGAAGTTCTTTTGTCCTACCACCTTTGGAGTTGTGGCGACTCCTGTAAGTTGTGTTATCAGTCACTATTGGGCCTAATTTCAACACGATAATTTACAACTACTGAATATATATACCATCAGCATGTAATTGATCTGACAACACTGTCTTTTTCTAGCTTTCAGTTAAACTCAAACTACAGCAGGACTAACAGTATGTGTTATTATCTGCTGTGCATTCAGCCATGGTCTGAGTTTGTGAATGTGTATCAAAAATACAGCACAGCACACTCATCACTTTACCAAAAAAGACTTCGTAAGGTTTAAACATGACATTTCATTTCCCACATTCAAGGCCTTCAACATGGTCCTACATTAATTCAGAGGCTACACCTGTTCTTAATCTGTGAGAGGTTTTAAACTGTGTGGTATATCTGATGAAGGCCTTGTATGTGGACAGAAAAATGTTGCACCTTTACCTTGCAGCCTTTTTGATTTTTGGTTGCATCTCACCTACAGTTGACTGAAGCACCTTTTCTCCTTTGCCTTGATTTTATGAATTAGTTCTGCTAATCCCAAAGAACAATCTGCAAACTCTCGCTGCATTTATACACATCTTACATATAAGAAACATCCATGAAAGAACACATTTATCACAGACACGATGATTCATAATAACATTTTTTAACAATCGATTAGCTTTATATTTCACATGTGGAACATTTGTGATCTATTTCACTGCCAGAATCAAAAATTCTCAAGAGAAATTTGTAGAGCCTCCCAGAAGTATATCAGACACACACACATATACACACAAGTGTAAGTGTAAAACTGATTGACACCTATATAAAAATGAAGCAGCCAACACATTTCAACTGCCAAATCGACCTGACTTTTTCAGGCATATGATATTCATAACCAGCAGCATGTGTCAGAAACAGAATATCAGATGTATCATTGGGATGCACATCAATCACTGAGCACAGTCTACAATACAATCCTGATTACATGGAGAGTGCAGATACTCTATACTCCGTATGTTGCTGCAGTGGAATGACTAGAACTGTTCAAAACACTCTTAAATTGTGCAAAGGAATGAACAGATTTCTGCAGTTATCTGATTATTCAAAGGGTCATGTAAACAGCATACTCTGATTTCTGAGATCGGAGTAAAGTCTGATTAAGAACGAGAGCTGGAGTTTAGCTCAGTAATCGGATTGTTCAGGGCATGTATACTTTTATTCTTATTTCTTTTGGATTTCTCAGTCTGTGCATGTGCAAATACTGTGGTACCAGTAATAAACAGCATTTAACACAGTGTCTGCAAGATGGCAACAAAACACTATTGGAGTGATGCTGCAACCAACTACATGCTTTGCGAAATGAAGGATTTAAATATTCTTTATGTTCTAGATTATGTATGTTCATATTTTCAGGTAAAGTGGCACGATGTTTTAAAAAGGCCTCGGCATGAAGTTTTAATTATACATTGCATCATTGCAACAGTCCGACCACATCTCTGTGTTCCTCTATTCATCAGACTACAGGGATATTACATCACTGTGCACTCCTGCTGCATGTTGCAAGGCCTGCACTACATCACAGATTACCAGCAGAGGAGCAGGGGGGTCACAAACAGCTGTGCCACACTGCAGGATGAGATTAATAAGTTCTACTCTCACTTTGAGGCCCTTGTGTGATGATCCATCCTAGATGCTTCTGGACATGGTTAACATAAGGCTTCCTTTTAGCACAGACATTTTAACTGTGTTGATATAACTACATATTGTAGTGCTTGTTAATGGCCATAACTGCCTTATTACTTCCTTATTATGATTTTCACTAAATTTGTTTTGTTATAATCCTCAGACATAGGTTGCATGGTAGCATTAAGGCCCGAAACATACTTCACGCAAGAATGCAAACGCAGATGCCTTGAGCTATGCAGGCAGGGTTTCGCACGTAGTCTTGTTAAAAAATGTTGTCATGATGCAAGCGCAAGCTCCATTCTGAGCAGTACAGCAAGGCTATAATGACAGCCAAGTCTGTCCAAGCGATTTTGTACCATCAGCGTGCTTTCTCAACTGCCACAGCAAATGAGCAGATGGCCTACATAAACATAAAACATATGATACATTATCACCTTTCCATTCCAACAGAAGAGGTAAAGCAGCACACTCTCCTCTACTTTTCCACACTTACTTTTCCACTGCTCAGTACTGAGTGTTTTACCTGCCCCAACTATATCAACTACATCAAGTTAAGATCCCCTGTTTATGCTATTAAATGAAAAAAGCTTAAAATAAAAGGAGCAGGTTCTCTGTGCCTCACCAACCACACAGCCATATCTACACATAAATATCACACCAATATGAGCATGCATCACTGAGATCTCACCATTATATAATCCTGTCCCACTTTCTGGGTGCAATATTCTTTAAATTGTGTAATTTTGGACAGTACCTTTCTTAAACTGCAGCTCTGTAATGGTACTGGACACAATCCAGCAATGATGTTGACCGCCCCAAAGTGGCGGCACCACTGACATGTTTGGCTGAACCCAACACAGCATCTATGTATGGTAAATCTGACTCGGTATAATAAGTTTGTGTGTTTTCCTCAACACACAGCACCGCAGATTCATTCCTGGTCCAACACAAATAATCAGCTCATAATGGCTCGTTAATTAGTTGATGAGCTGGATCTGGTGTTTTAAGGTAAGGAATAGTTGAAACCATGTGGAGCTGCGGAAGATCAGCATTGGTAGAATAATTTTGACATTTTAACAAAATAACAATCCTTTACTCTATGTTGCCTGTGCATTATTGAAGTGAAAAGTAACAAATAATATTTTCTGTTGTTACTGTACGTTAGCCCTGTAAAGGTAGTTTTAAAGTAGAATTAAATAATAGTACTTTTTTATTTAAGTTAATTTTTAATGAAGTATTTTTACTTCGCTACTTTAATTTTTAATAAAATTACAGAGTAAAAATAAGTTAATTTACCAATTAGAAGAAATATTGGTTAAATTTAAAAATTTAGTTCTGAAAACAGAGCGAAATAGAGCAAAACAGGGAAGCACCCTGCTACAAAAACAATTCAGTCATAATGTGTTTAGAGAGACAAGTTTAGATAGGGAGAATGTTATCAAGAGCATACCTTATCTGAACAGCTAACGTCATTTGCTTTTAGAAGAACACACTCCTGTACTTTTTAATACACAATTACTGTTATTTGTTGAATTTATTGTGGGGAAAATAAAACATAAGTTGTAACCTGTGTAAATGTTTGCCTTTTTAATTAAATAAATACATTTTAAAATGTGCACTAAAATTTGCAGAAAAGTCTGCAAGTGTGTCCTCTGTAGAGGATGTGTTTTTTCACCTAGAAAATCACTAAAACGTCATTTGACTGGGGGTGTTCAAACTTTTGCACGCAACTGTATATACACACTGAGAAAGTGTTCACTCGCAGTGTTGTACATTCACAGGTTTGTTTTAACACTGATGTGTAATTTATCACAATTTACCAGAACAGAGTTCTTGGGCTAGACTGCTGAAGCTACATTTAAATTTTAATAACACTTAAGCCATTTAAATTCCTTTAAATTCCTTTAAATTCCTTTTTATGTACTTTTTGCTTTATTTTAATTATCTGTTTTGTTTCTTTAAGTTGTTAGCACTTTATTTTTCCTTTTGATATTATTCCCATTTTCTTTTATTTATGTAAAGCACACTGAATTGCCTTTGTGTATGAAATATGCTGTATAAACAAACTTGCCTTGCCTTTCATTCACCTCTCTAAGTCACTAATGTGAAGGATACACTTGCAGTTGTATATTTCCACCACATGATGGCTCTACTTACACCCTACAGGTTTAAGAATGTTTATTAATGAGTGCTTCCCAGAATTACGTAAATATATGAACTTGCTTGTCAATCAATGACTGCTCAGACCTATTTGTTCTTCTCAGAGTGCATAGAGGCATACAAATCTTCTAGGAATAAAAATCATAAAATTAAAAGTATATAATGAGAATAAATTAATTGGGTATTAATCACACATTATTTGTGAAAGTTTGCACACATCAAAAAATGCCTAAAACAAGTGAATCTACAGGATTATTAATAGTGTTTTTATTTGAAAGTCAGAAAGTCCCTGTTTTCAACTTCTTGATGCAAAGTTATGAATGACTGACAGATAAAGATATGACTGTGTAACATTACACAAACCTGTCCGGTAGGTTATGAGTCTCGTTTTTCCTCTCTGTAACAGCTTTGTAGATTATATGCATTGATGTGTCATGTGCCATCAGAATAGAGCTGCATGAAGCAATCAAATATGATGGGCTCTGCTTATGAAAGGTTTTACACACTGAGCTCTGCCTACATTACATTAATTCTTAAAGATTTTAATGGCATTTACATCAGAAAAATAGCTTTCAAAATGAAATAACATCTCACTTTTACTTTTGCTACTCACAGTCTGTACGAGCTCTCTTCACCAAAGAGAGTGCAGTCTCACTCACAAACTAGCCAAACATGCAGATACAGGAACATGTAAAGGCAGCTCAGAGGAACATGTCAGCGCAGAACAGCAGCAGAAACTTAAAACTCTGAGTTTATAGCAGTTCAATAAACTCAGAGATCCACAGCAACAATCAGTGATGTTCAGTCAGATCATATTTAATTCCTCACCAGATGACAAACCCAGACATTCGAATAGATGATCTAAACAACTGCAGAAGCATATAAAGCAAAACAAACAATGACAAACAGGAACTAAGAAAAGTGGTTGCCAAACATGCACAAGTTTAAACTGGTGATCAGAAATTCTGAACACCAGAACATGTTAATGAAAAGGTGTTCAGATTTAAACAATAACTAGAACAAAAACAGACGATCAGATTCATTTATGAAACATTGAAAGCATGCACTTACAAGTGATCAACAAATTATGCATGTTCAACCATTCAGCTGATTATTTTTATGACAAATTATTTTTAAAAGACACTGTTATGTGCCATAGCAAGTATGTGTTTTGTGTGCTCTTTGTTTGTCTCTCTTTGTCTGCCCCAGAATCCATTGGTGGATTCTGTTTTCCTCAAGTGAACAATCCAGAAGAACAACAGTGAAAGGGGAACCTGTGGAGACAAGACAGCAGAAAGGCTGCCATATGCCACTCAGAAGCCCTCAGACACACTTTTAGAATTATGTTAGCTTCTATCCTTTGCACATATTTACTATACTGTCTGCTGCTGCTGTTTTGTTTGTAAAAGAGATGCTGTAGACAGTTTGCTTTATAATAATTTATAATATTTTTGCACATCTAAGAGCCTAGATTAAACTCCTTGTTAGCCCTGCTGATAATATTGTGAAGTCTCCTTGGGAAGTTTCGTCCAGTTGGTGGCTTTTTTAAAACCTAGGGGAAACGTGCAGCGCACCTGTAATCTAACAACACATAGGAAGCCCTTTGTCAAACACACTAGGTAAGAGGGCGGACAGATGTCTTATTTTTGTTTAGGTTAGGGTTAGGTAGATTGTTTGGTTTTGCTTAGTTCTTTTCGTTGGTGCCATCTGTAGAGATGCACCAACCTGTTTTTCCTGGTTTATAGAAAGGCTGACACTGGAACTCTGTATGCTTGTATTATTGAACTGCCTACCTTCTACATGTTGTAGAACATATGTGGTGGATTTCTATCTTAGTGTCTTGTGTATAAATCACTTCTCTTCTTCCACCACACCTTCCACATGTTTGCGACCCCCATCCCCTGGACTTAACAGAGGGTCGTAACAGATGCTTTGAGTATCATGCCAAACCTTCTAACCACACTAGTACACAAGGAGGGAATTTCATGTTTGGTGAACCCCTCCTGTTTATGGAAAGTAGGTTTAGTCTGTAATCCAAATTAGTGAAGAGTAATTTAACTTGAATTTACACATGTGAAAATGACATTTTACTAGTGAAAATTATTTCTTATAAGTAAAAACTAAACTCCCAACATTTAAAATTTACTAGTGGAATTGTGCAAATGAAATTTCTGATAAAACAGGAGATTATAATTTCAGCATGTCAATTTCATTTTTAATTGTGTGGGGAAAAATGCTGCATGTTAATGAGAAATAAAACCTCACATCTTAAAATAATATTATTAAAATTAAAAGTTGAGTTGTAAGATGCTATAATTAGATTTTTATACACCATTTTTTCTAATATCAACAGCATTTTCTGATAAAAAATACTTTGTTTTTTAAGTTTAAAAGTTAAAGGATGAGTGCTGAGACTCCTGCTTTTCTTTCACATCTCATTCTTTTGACAGTGGACAACAGTTCATATCACATTTTCTGTGGCAATTATATGTTCCACAGTTTTCTTCTGTGTCGCCACTTCTTTCTTTCAAATTCTTGGTTTTCTCTGTTTTTTTGTTTTTGTTTCTTTTTCTGTATCCATTTTGGCAGCCAAACTGGAGCTTCACTAGCACATGTATTTAATGGGTATGACTTCATTAATATATTAGCTTTGATTTGCTCTTGCCTAGGACACTGGTTAAAACACAGCAGCATTAAAAAGACTTTATGAATAGGTGAGTTTATAATAGCTCTTTTTTACTGTGCTGCATATTTTGCATGGTGTAACACTGTTACCACTAAGTTGATGAATCTGTTCCAGCAAGTGCAGATTTAAAAAAGTAAATTAAATGAATTACTTACATGGTAATGTACATGGAGGAAAACATAAGGCTCTGTGTAACAAAATCAGGACACATTGATCTTTCTTGACACTGCTAAACCTGGACCAAGGATGGGGCCTACACCAAAGACTCTTTAAGTTCTACTGAATCGTTATCTTTTAACTTCTGAAATCCCATCGAGGATTAAAAATGTCTTCCTTCACTTTTGCCTCCTCAGTCTTTCTGGCAGAAATTAAACTACACAGAGCATGTTTTGATGTATGAACACCCCACACACACGGTAGGTTGCAACTCTCCACCCCTATTCATGTCTGCACCAAAGAACTGAACCATGAACCAGATACCCCTGCTTCATTTTGCTGCTGGTGGGAACACATTTGGTGCACACCAAATGAGAGAATTCAACACAGTGTGATTTTCTCAGTGCATATAAGAGCTGTATTGTCCACATAATCCACCTGTTTTAGCATTTTATTCTTAAAGACTATCATATAGGTCCTGCAGCATGAGCTGCTGATAATAACGGCAGATGAGCAATAAAGTAATACAAACAAAACACAACATACTTTCATGACCTGATTGGTTGAATTCAAATTTGTAAACCAATCATATAGAAGCAGAAATCAGGTAAAGTTTAGCTTTGTTAGCTTCTGTATCAACAGAGGCAAACTGGCACTTAACCCAGCATGTTTCAAAGTTTTACTTAGTTGTAATTATCCAGTGAGTGCCCTGCTGAAAAATAATCATAGCAACCAATAAAAATTTCTGTTGGTTTCTGGTGGTGTCCAAGTCACTAACAGTATATTGTTTTCCTGATGGGTTGACATCACAGTGTAAAGGATTCTAATGGTGTAACAGGTATTATGGGACTCACTCCAGATGCATCTGATGGTTTCCTAAAGGTGTCCCGCAGGAAACAAGTGGTCTTTCATGGTAACCATTAAGCCAATTCCCAGCAGAGAGGCAGACCATCAGGCTTTAATTCTAACAGTTCTAATGGTCTTTTTCAGCAGGGTACTGCAGACAGTGTAAAGAAATAGATCAGCCACCAAAACCAATTTGTGTTGTCCCACCACTTTGGAGGTGTGGCGACCCCTGCAGCAGTGTTTCCATCACTATTTCAACAGGAAAACTTACATCCACTGTAGACAAATACCATCTGCATGTAATTGATCTGACCAACACTACCACTGTTTTGTCTAGCTTTCACCCAACTACAAAAAAGGGCCCAGCCCAAAATGGCAAAACATTAAGCTTTTAATGGACTTAATAACAATAAACAAATAGATAAAGTAGAGGGTCATAATGAATATAGAATAGCCTTTCCCTTTGCTTTCTTTAAAAAATCTATGCTTTACACAAAGAGTAGTCAGTATTTTTCCACTGATTTTCTTTATACAGTTGAAAAACATTACCAAGCTAGTTTGTCTTTAATGTAAAACCACATATTCCCTATATGGCTTAAATCTGGACTCTGACTAGGCCAAAGCCATTGGTAAAATCCATAATATTTTGGGCTTGGCCCATTTTTTTTTGCCCAGTAGTGTATGTTATTATCTGCTGTGCATTCAGACATGGTCTGAACTTGTGAATGTTTATCAAGAAAAAGGTGCAACACACTCTTCACTATACCCACAACAGCCCTTTATTAGGTTAACAATATTTTATTTAACACATTCAATGCCTTCATCAGAAATACACAACTTAACATGATCCTTCTTTAAGGAATCAAAACAGGAACAATTTAATACCTCTCTAAGATTAAGAACAGGTGTGGCCCCTTGAAGGAGGATCATGTTGAGTCTTGTACATCTAACAAAGGCCTTGAATGTGGGAAACAAAATATTGATAACTTTTGTTGGTTTTTGGTTGCACCTCACCCACAGTTGACCTAAGTTCCTTTTCTCTTTTGTCTTAAATTTACGAATTTCCTTTGTGTACTGCTCCTCCCAATGACGTGATTTGTGATTTGAAAACGCATGCTATAATTCTGCATTCTAGTCTAAATCAAGCACCCATCTGTCTTTACACATCTGTATTTAAAACATAAGAAACATCCATGAAAGAACAAATTTAACAGACGCCATGATTTTAATAACCTTTTTTAATTAGCTTTATATGAAACATATGGAACGTTTGTGATCTATTTCACTGCCAGAATCAAAAAGACTGAAGAGAAACTCAATTTGCAGAGCCTCCCAGAAGTATATCAGCCACACACATAGATAAAAGGTGTACATTTCTTTTTATGACACTTATTTAAAAATGAAACTTGCAGCCAATTGTGTAAGAAAAGCATTTTAACTGCCAAACGGAAATAATCTTTTCAGTTATATTACATTAATAACCAGCAGCATGTGTCAGAAACAGAATGTACATCATCAGGATGCACATCAATCACTGAACACAGTCTACAATACAATCCTGACTACAGATTATGGAGACTGCAGATACTCCATATAAAACTGAAAGGTAGGTTGTTCAAAACACTCTTGAATTGTGTAAAGGAATGAACGTGTGTCCAGTGTCTCATACTGGCATGCATATACAGTTCCTCTATACCACACAACCAGAACACTTTTAAATAAACTGCTTGCAGGATCGAACCGTTACCTACAGCTGTCTCCTTCATTCATCAGTGCATAGAGGACTTTACTAAGACATTAGTTATACTGAAATGAAGAGTGATGTGGAATGGCAAACACAGTGGAAGTGCTTTCTGAATTTGGTCCAATATTAGGAAAATACAATGAGTGCAGATTTTAAAAACATAAATAAAATTAAAGACTAAAATAGTTCCTAAAATGCATAAAAGAAATAAGGCTCAGTAACAAGATTTGAAATTAAGACAAATACATACAGTGTGAATAAATTAACGGCAGTGAAGGCTGGAATATGAGAACTGGTCTTCAACGTCAGAAGTGTACACTTCATCAGTGCAGTTAAGTGGGAGAAAATTAATACAGGTGATCATTTCTTTACATTTTGAACACTGCTGCTTATTGAATACAACTGCTCATAGCTGAACTGGCAAAAAACAAAACACTGTGTCAGGAAAATGTGTGCGGTTTGCGCTGGTGTGTGCCGTGTATGAGTTAAACGTATGTTTCGTTGTTTCAGATTATTACTAGAGAAAGAATGTAGTAGATATTTATATAAAATATATTACCCACTGCATGGATTCATTAAAGGCTATTTTGCTCATTAAGGACCTGTTTACATCTTGAGACTGGACTGTTCTCAGATCAGCCCAGCGGTCACCTGCAACAGTAGTGGTCTAGTTATCAGTACCAAACACTGTGTTAAGCTGCTGAGTCACTCTAATGAAGGTGGTACGGCGACTCAGCTCTTTCAGCTTAGCGGCTCCTACGTAGGTACAAGTGGAGCGAACGCCTCCCAGCACGTCTCTCACAGTGTCCTCCACTGGACCTTTATACAGCACCTCCACCGTCTTCCCCTCCGATGCTCTGCACCCAAACACACAAAAAAGATACATCTAGTGACCACAACCACCATGCACCATTACCCAGTAGCACTGTGCTAATTACTAGATTAAAAACTCTTTATAGCAGTTAGTGAGAATTAGAGGGACAAATGGAAGTTGTGCTGTTCTGTTTATTTTTTAATCAGCGATTATACTGGGCTTTAGGGCTAAGATGATAAGCAATTTGGAAAATCTATAAAAACGACTATAAATATTGACATTCTTCTTTATTTCAAACCACAGTGTGAGTACATAATCCAGTACATAATGGAGTTACGGAATAACTGAAATTTGGGGGGGGGATCCTGCCTGAAACCCTTCCTCCTTCCAATGTAACGGCATATGAACTCCCATCTCTACCTTCCGTTTTCTGCGACAAAATTTTTGCAATCCTCACCTCCATCCCGCCTTCTAGCTCTAAGGAGAAGCTGCCCAGAACTGCAGTCCATGTTCTTAGAAGTCTCCCCGCTCCCTCAAATAGGCTCTCCTTATATTACCATCTTATGTTGAAGGCACAGTCTGAACTAGCAAACTGAGCATATATCAGTTTCCGCTTGTACCAGAGGGGACAATAAAACCAAAGATCTTTTCACACCTGATTAAGAGTCCTGAATATGTAGCATACAAGAGTAACTGCTGGGAATCTTAAAATGATGCATATTAAACTTTCTATAGTATACAAATATTGATTAAAATGTAGTGACTTTAACCAGGACATTAATCTCTCAGTTTTGCACATCTCAGCCTCTATCTCTCTCTGCCTCTTACCTGTAGTCTGCTACTCCTCCTGCATGCTTCCTCATGGCCGTGTCGGAGCTCATGCCATAAAAGAGTTTGTACTTCTTCCCGTTCTTCTCAATGATCTCACCCCCGCTCTCATTGTGACCTGCCAGCATCCCACCCAGCATCACAAAGTCTGCTCCTGCACCTGTCCATCACACACAATAGCCAATCAAATTCAAGTTCAATGGATTTCAGACACTAGGAGCACAAAAAACACAGAATTTATCTTTTGGCTACAGTAACAGATGTGGTAGTAGCACTCAGAGACATTTCAAGAAGAATTATCTTAACAGTATGTATTATTTCTGGGGTAGTTAAAGTTACTTAAAATTACTTATTCCAGTACTTTTTTAACACATTAACACACTTTCCTAGTTTGACCCTTTTAACCATCCATAGGAGTTCAGGCTGAAGCCCAGCTGCAGTACACTGTATGTTGCTATGTCAGACATGGCAATTGTAGCCCTCTCATTCAAATACAGCTTTTTAAACTAATACCAGCACCTTTGGCAGACTACACTGGACAGTGCTTGTAAAGAACCTACCGATAAATCAACATACAGCAAACTAATAGCAGCACCAGTTCATCTTAAGAGCCTTCACTGTAACAAGAGTTGCATGAGTGAGAACAAGAGCGAGGGGCTATAATCATGGTAGAATTGGAACCATTGACTGCATATATGATATATATTGCTGCTGTCGGACAAAACCTTGAATCTCCATTTTTGACGTTTTTCATTTTTTGACATAATTTGAAAATGCCTATTGGCCTTCACGTTGTGTGTAAATTTCATGACGAATGGATTAAAAGAAACGGCCCAAAATGTCTTGTTAAAAACTCTTGCTCCATTGATTTACATTAAAAGTAAAGTATGTTTTTTCCTTCTTCTGTAAAGTTACCATTTGAAGATTTTGTTCCAACAACAGAGATACAATATAAACACTCATTGGTTGGAACATGCAGACACTGTTGCTCTCTGGAAATTGAAAACTGCATTCAATATGTGTATATCATGTCATATTCATGTTCAGGTTTAGGTGAAAAAGCATTTTCATGATTAAAATAATGTTTATGAATTATGAATTATTGAAAGTTATTAAAGAAATTAATTCTGATGGAGCTTTGTCCACTCACACAGCTATAATAAAATTCACTGCTTTTTAAATTGGACAAAAATCTTTCTTTTTGCAAAAAGGACAAAATGTGATTAATTCTGATAAAGTACATAAAATAATTCAATTAATTAAAAAAATGATTTTAATCATTTGACATCCCTAATTTCCTCTAACAGCAAATATGAGCAAAATGGTCTGTTAGTTCGAAAGTCATGAAAAACTAGAGAGGTCACTCACCGAAAGCCTTAGAGACATCACCTGGGCAGGTGCATCCTCCATCCTGAGTGAGAAACAATGAAGAAAATCAATACTTAAAATCTAGCAAGAACATCCATTATTCCCAATAAGAGTGACTAATATTGCCTAAGCAGTTGTTCATAGCTACTCAGTGAATATCTCACAGAGATGATGTGTCCACCCAGGCCATGTGCAGCATCAGCACACTCGATTACAGCACTCAGCTGAGGGTAGCCCACACCTGTCTTCTTACGGGTTGTGCACACCGAGCCTACACAGACAAACAAACGAACATATACCTGAGAAACTTATGTTTAAAAATGTATTTCTCTGAGCGTTCAGCATTTACTTGCTCATAATAAATATAAATAACATAAAAACAATAAGTAGTGATTTTGTGTATGCCAATGTGTTCGTTTAACCATTTCAAAACCTGAGAGTTTTCAAAACTCTCTTTGTGGCAGCCCGGTATTATTTGTCATCCAACACTTTTTGGCTTTGTTAGGTTAAATCAAGTGTGCTGGTGATGGAATTTAACAGGTACATGTGATGGTTGGGGATGGTTAGGAGAAATCTGAAACTTCTTTAAACTAGCTCACAAGATGGAATAAGTCGCTTCAGCACACTGATAAATATCTTTTTAGGACATAAGATATCAACTACTTTTTTTTCAAAATGAGAAATTCATGTTACTGGATTTAGGTTTGTTTGCATCTATTATAATTAGGGATGCACTGAAAATGGTCAAAAATGGCCCTTTTAGGTTTCAGCTGAAAGAGAAAAATGGCTGAAATTTTGTCCAAAAAAAGGCAAAAGATTAAATAGCTCTGCGATGAAATGTCAAAATCTAACAAACAATTTGAATTGAGTAATGAAAATGAGAAATAGTGAAGCTGTTTCTTCTCTTTGCTCTTCTGCGCTGGCCATCAAAGATGCATTCAAATAGTCTGAGCAGCAGCAGATCAACAGTGAAACACAAACACAGTCTGCTGCAGTGGCATAGCAGTGTTTAACTTACAGGTTTTTTCACATTGACTGATTTAATTACATTTTTAAATAGAAATTACATAAATCATACAGAGTAACTCAATATTCTTTGGTAATAAACTTTTTAACATCTCATTTTGGGAGCTGGTAATGCAAACGAGTCCATTAAATCCTGCTGAAGTTTATGACTGTTTTTTCTAAAGCAACATGTGTGCCAACAGCACCCTCTGCTGGAGAAACTTCAGACTGCTAACATTACAGAGGCAACTTTGTGAAACCATGAAGCGTCATCTTTTCATGATTTTACAAATGTTAATATTTAATTTTATTTTAAAGTTTAAACTGTTTAAAGTTAAACTAGCCCTCTAGTCCTTTCATTTCTGTTAATTCAAAAGCAGAAATAAAATGGTAAATTATAAATAGAAGAACCTTTTCTTTCCATTGCCAAGTTTAGTTTTCAGCCATGTCCTCAGTGCATTACTAATTCGAATGATATATGGTGTTTTTACAAGTAAACAAAATAAGCAAAGACATAATTAGGATAAAGGATGTACATACATAGCATCAGATAATATGCACATACCAGTGATATATTTATGGCACTGATCAAAACTATCTGAATCCCAAAAACACTGAATCAAGTAGCATAATTTTGATTTTGATCACCTGGACCGATGCCCACTTTTATGATGTCAGCACCAGCGAGAATCAGCTCTTCCACCATCTCTCCAGTCACTACATTACCAGCCTTGAAGGAAAATAATGTTTACACTTTATAATCATGATTACAACCACAACTGTTTTTATCTTATCAACCGTAGACATAAATGGCACTGGATTATCTAACTGTCTGTTGGATAAATAACATTTTGTTTCTACTATAAGCTTTAACAACTGACCATGATGGTGTGTGAAGGAAACTTCTGCCTCACATCCTTGACAAAATGCACAAAATGTTCAGAGTAACCATTTGCTACGTCCACACAAACGTACTGGACCTGAGGGACAGCTGCCAAAATGGCGCCAAGCCTCTCAAAATCAGCCTCGCTTGTCCCAGTACTGACTGCCACGCTCTGCGGAGAGAAAAAGAGAGGATGGGGAAGAGAAAATGTTAACAATGTGACCTTCATGAACAGCAGTAAAGTCTAGTTATTACTCCTTAACAAATGAAGTGCCTGAGACACAGAAGCCAAACATGCTTTCTTTCTCACCTCTAGGCATTCTGGGTGCTTTGTTGCAAACTCTTTCCAATCATCTACGCTGTAATGTTTGTGTACGGCAGTGAACAGTGAGAACTGGAAGAAAATTGAGGTTTGTGAGATAAAGTGCATTTAACAACAGAATAATGACCCTTCAGGACAGCACAACTCAGTTTCCATAGCCACTGTGATCTTAAGGTACAAGGTGGAGAAAGTCTGAGAGGTCAAAAGTCAAAAGGCTTCTGAAGTTGTGCTATTTCAGCCATACCTGATGCAGCGCCACAGCCATCTCGAAGGTTCCAACTGTGTCCATGTTAGCAGCTATGATAGGGATACCTCTGTAACTGCCTTTCGAATTTCTGAAAGTAAAACTGCGCATCAGGTCCACCTGAGAGAGAAAAGATCATAGAAGAACACAGAAGGAATACAAGAAAGGGAGAAGGAATTAATAGATGAAAGTCCATAAGCTATTTTAGCAAGAACGATTGAAATCTGAAACTTCGTGGCTTTCTACAGGGGTTCGAACCACAGTGATACCTAGAAAACTGAAGTAACAAGTGCATTCACTTTTATATTAAAGGGGAATTTAATGTAGTGGTTTGAATGTCATTTTAGAGAAACTTACAGAATCAGAACTGTTCACAGTGATAGGAGCCAGACGTCTGAAGCATTAAATGCCTCTAAAAGCTCCCCCACAGAAAGCTATTCCATGAAACTGTTATGAATGTGTTACCTGATTAATGATGTGTTATTTTATTGTACTTTTGAGATATAAAGATATAAAGATTTTTTCCAGATTTACCAGTATTTTATCATTGTTACCACTGCATATAAAACATGGAAGACATGTAGGTTCTTTGGTCGTTTTGGACAGTAAGTAAAACGAGTATATTTGTGTTGCAGACATTGAGATCCTTGGTTCTTATCAACACCACTATAAAGAAATTCTGAATTACTTTGATTAACGTTACATCTCTATGATTGAATTACGCAGAAATTTTGAAAAATCTTAGAATCATAGTGCAAAAGTAAGATACAGTAGAACTGAAACCAGCTTTGTACAGGGGTTCTAGCTGCAGTGATACTGAGTACACAATACAGCAATATGCTTGTTCTCTTTTGCGTTGACTAAGAAGCAAATAAACAGAGTATTTTACCTCACTGCGGGACTTCAGGGTGCTGCGTTTGGGACGAAGCAGCACATCTTTGAAGTCGAGCTTGATGTCATTCTCGATGCGAGGCATGGCTGTCTGACTTGACTTGGTGCCCTTGAGACTTCTGCAGTATCCCTCAGAGAGCAAATACCAATACAGCAGCTGTGCGTAGGAGGAGTGCCGTCCTTGAACCGTCTGTTTGTTCAACCAAACAAGAAAAACTCTCAGGCTTTCTGATGTGAACGCTAGAGGGAAAAACCCTTCACATACCCTTCGCTTCCCTGCCCGCTTCATGTCATGCACATGTCAGAAAGCATATAGGCTGCAGCTGATTGATCAGTTTAAAACTGAATTCACGTTTGTGATATAACTACCTAGCTTATGGCATCTGGACCTACATACAAATTCAGTGTACAGACATCTGTTGACTGTTTCTTTGCCTGCCGAGTAAAACTGACAACATACGTAGCAAGCTAGCTAGCAAGGACGCCGCTATATAAGCAAGTTTCGCTGACACATAATCTTAATTACAGTCTAAATACACATATTTCAGAGGTGAAGGTGAATGTACGTTACATTAAAAGCACTGTTATTGCATTACCTTCTCCTGGAGCTGCGGACAGTGTCACCACTGGAATGTATGAAGGAGGATAGGAAGGATGCACATCACTTTTTCCGGGCAGTAACTCAACGTACATGTCAAGGCGGTAATATTTTGCCCCGGATCTACAGCAAAACACGAAATGTAGTTTTACAAACAAAAATTTCCCGCCCACACTCGTTCAAAGCGCCGTCTTTGTGGACTACAAAACGACGACCCGTTTTGACAACTGCTGTCGCACTGACACTGCAGCTTTTAGTTCCAGCACAAATCGTTTATGGCTAAAACAATGACGGTTTACATGTGTTTAGAATTTAATCTTAACCACACAATGTCCATAATTTTTATAGTTATAAATATCTAAGATTTGTTGTAATGTAGCCTAGTATTGTCTGTCGGAACCTTTATCCAATGCTACAGGATGGCAGGAAATGTTTTTGAGTTGCTCAGGAACTTCAGTTGAATTAGTGTAAGAGTGAAATCGAGGGAATTCTTGATAAAGGAGTACGCCGCTCTTTTCTACTGTGTTCGTTTTATTTTTGCCTTTATTCACTGCGCGCGTTGATACAGCACAAAAGCCACAATGTTGATCAAAGTAAAGGTAAGGGAGGAGGACATTACTGCTGTTTCATTACCGCTGCCGGTTAGCCGGTTAGCCGGTCAGCTAACCGAGCTCTCTCTTTCAGATTGACTGGAGCCGAGTTAAAGTCTTAAACCTGGTCAGGCTGCGCGCAGATCTCGGTCGGCCTTTAAAATCAGACGGGATTTTTAGATATTTCTGTGGCCATTCTGTAATTTTAATATCTGTAATCTAATATTCCGTTTTGCTGCCTAAATAACGATGGTCAGAGTTAGTAAACTTACGGTGACGTTACTAAAAAAGATAGTTCTTTAAGGGTTCTTTAGTAAAGGCAGTGGTTCTGTTTTGAATCAGGAGTTCTATATAGAACGTTTCATGTTTAAATGATTTTTAGGGTAATGAAATGGTTGTGTTGTATATGGTTCTGCACAAAACCTGTCTGAACAAGGTTCTATATAACACCGAAAAGCGTTCTTCTATTGTTGCAGTGTCAAGCTTGTAACAATAGAAGATTATTTTTGGTGCTATAACAGCTAGAACCATTTTCCAAAAGGTTCTGTATGCAACCATATACAACACAATCCTCATCAATCTGAATAACCTTTCACCATATGAAGAATCATGTAAGCAAGCAGATGGCTTTTTCAGTGTTCATGGTTCAATATAGAACCATTGACTTTCTAAAAAAAAAAAAACCCTTGAAATACATCTTTTTAACTGAATTTTAGCATTAGAAAATGCTTTTTGGTGCTATGTAGAACTATTTGTAAAAAGGTTCAGTATAAAACCATTTCCCCACGTAAAGAACCATTTAAGCATGAAATGGTTCTATATAAAACTCATTGTTCTAAATAGAACCATTGCCTTTACTAAAGAACTCTTGAAGAACCATTATTTTAAAAGTGCACTGTCACTTACTATAAAGTAGAGGTGCACTGATATCGATTTCTGATATTTTTGTACACGTATCTACTGATGGTGATACATAAACATTTATAAAACATAGCAATTGAGATCCACTTGGATTAGGATTACAGAGAAATATAGCATTTATTTCTACAAAGTTGCAAATGCAGTAAAATGAATTAAATGCAGACCTTTGAGCACAGCAGCCCAGGGTCTCCTAAACATTCTGCTTCTCCAGAGTAATTCAGTACCCTCATCAAATATCAGTTTGAAATATTGGTCAAATATAAAGATCTGGCCAGTAATTTTTTAAGGCAATTATGTACCAATACTTATACGGTTCCAATATCATACATCCCTGTTAAAAATACTCAGCCACTTAAACAATAATAGATTTAGCACACATTAACCCAAATCTGAGGTATGTGCTGATAGTACCATCACTTGAAAACATTCATCCTCTTTGATACATTTTTAGCAGTCTGGCCTACTTTACTAAAATAGAGCTGTGGTCCCATCAGAGAGAGCTGCTTAGGTTCAGTTTAGACATGAGTTTGGTTCCTATACTCTTCCAGGGAGAGAGAGAGTATGTAGCAGTTTATGCTGCTTTTTATTCTACATGCTCAAAAGTATCCTTCTAATGAGTGAATTCAGTTACTTTAAGTAGCTGAACAAATCTGTTGTGCACAAATAGCTTATATACAGAAAAACTCTTGTTAAAAGATTGGGATGCTCTGGAGCACTTGCATGTGAGCCTAAGGTCACCATGCCCAGTGCCAAGAGTCAGCTAGTAGGGTACTAAGCCTCCCAGCATTGGGCTGTAGTTAAAAAACTAAAAAGAATTTACAGTGATTAATCACAGTCAGCACTGCAATTTATACCAGGCTTAATCCACGTTTGGGAAACTGGGCTGTAGTGTTTTAACATATTAAAGCATGTGAATGTATGGAAATGCCTTAATACATAATAGCAACCCAAATTTGTGGCTTATAGTAACCACCCTCTCTGAAAATGTCTATGCTGCTGTGCTGCAGGTAATGGGTACCCTGAAAATAATAGCAAATCATTTACTGACTATACATTATTTATGGTGTTTCTAGACCCTGACTGGAAAAGAAATTGAAATTGACATCGAGCCAACAGACAAGGTAGGTTCAGTCAGTTCCATTAGTAAGCAGAGCTGTTTCAGCACCTGTTGTATGCTACTGTAACTAGACTGATGTCAGATGTTGATAACTGGATTGTGCATCCCCATTGTTAATACTGTAGCTCATTTGATTTTAGGTAACATTAGATTTCTTTGATGTAAAAAAGGCAATTTGTGATGTGTTTGCCTCATAATGTGTTTGGTGCATTCAGGTGGAGAGAATAAAAGAAAGAGTGGAGGAGAAAGAGGGTATTCCACCTCAGCAACAGAGACTCATCTACAGTGGGAAACAGATGTAAGACACGTTCAGATACATATGTAGTGTATTGGGCGAAAGTCAAAGACCACCTTTCATTTATTTAATTTCCAGTCAAAATTGCCATTATGGACAAGTTATTAATATTTGAGGAGATATTTCGGAGGAGATTAGGTATAATCCACTTGCATAAGGAAGGGGTTAGTGAATCAAGTAGGAGTTTCCAAATCTGGAGTTCAAAAAACTGTTAAAGATACAGAGGAATGTGGGACTCCTAACAACCAAGCAAGACCTGATAGACCACCAAAACTGTCACCATCACGTAAACAGTACTTAAAGGGTGGTCTTTGACTTTGGCCCAGTTGGTGAGTAAGTCAGTGATTTTCTTTCTTTCCCTCTTTCTTTCTCTCTGTCTTTCCCTCTCTCCCTCCGACCTCTCTCCCTCTCCCTCCTCTCTGTCTCTCCTCACTCTCCCACTCAAAACAGTGGTTCCCAACCCTGATCTCAGAGTACCCACTGCCCTGCACATTTTAGTGTTTTTCCTGTGCTTGTGCTCTGCATGTATACATTCAAAGTTACAGTTCACAACGTTTAACCTGTCTTTGCAGGCTTTACTTGATCATGGATTTTGGTCATTATGCAATTTAAATGTTTGATTTAAAAAAAATTCTCAGCATAAGCACTTTAGAAAATATGGCCCTGCAGAATTAACTAAAACATAAAACATTTTATAATGAAAACAGTCATAAAAATACATTATTTCAGTGTCTTTCAGCATATTCTCTTTGTTTTTTAGGAACGATGAGAAAACAGCAGCAGATTATAAAATCCAGGGTGGCTCTGTATTGCATCTGGTTCTTGCACTCAGAGGGGGGCGAGAGCACCAACATCCCAGCAACCACCTGCAGGCCTTATAATCACCAGACTTCGCCACTGTAGTATCCAGTCAGCCCCAACAGCACAGTTGTGGTTATGCCACAGTTCCCTTAATGATGTCCCTTAAACTCCATGGTGTCAACTCCACTGCACTTCTTTTCTGTAGACTACTACAGCATCTTCCTGTCAGCACCCTTCTTCTCCTAACTTATCCTTCATGGAGCACTGTCCTGATCAGTTTGTTAACTTGACTTTAAAGCGGTGAGAAGTAATCATTGTTAATGTGAAATTCATGCCGTAGAATCATTTGTCAATAAAACATCACATTGGCATTTTTCACTCTTGCTGGTTATTGAGTATCAATTAACAGTATACAAAAGTATTAAAACATATCTATATAGCTGTAGTCAGCAAAGTATAAATGAATGGAGTAACGTCTCTCAATTTAAACAGTAAACAGTGTTGAATTCTTGAACTTTTGAGTTAGACTTGAGACATAAACACATATTCAACCTCTACTCTTGGACTACTGTTGTCTTATTTAGGGCTGGTTTCCCAGACCGTAATTAAGCTTTAATATATACAAAATTAGATTTTTAGTAAGAAAATCAATGAAACCGTGCCTAACAAATATTTCACTTCAGTCTGTGTCTTCAACACTAACCAAACCTGTAGTAAACACATTTATTATCATGAAGTGCTGTCAAGTCAGCTGTGACTACTTGTTACCATGTGGAAAGAGTTTCTAAAGAATATCTTGTCTTCTCTAGAATGTTTCTTGTCTGGGTCTTTATGCTTCTCAATGGCTGGTTCATGATTCCGCTCATTGTATCCGTCCATGTTGTTGCTGGTTGTCCCTTTCCTCTTTTACCATTAACTTTTCCAAAGTATAATTATCTTTTCCGGTGAATCGTTTCTTCTCATAATATGTCCAAAGTAAGACAGCTTCAGTTTGGTTTTCTGTGCTTCGATTGAGAGTTGAAGCTTGATTTGGTCATGTTTGTTTTCTTTCTGCTGTCCAAGGTTCTCTCAAAATTTCAAAGGCATCAGTATTTTCTTTTTTGTCTCACTCTTTCATTATCCAGATTTCACATCCATGAAAAACCGCAGAAAATACAATAGTCTGGAGTCTTTTGTAGAGACACTTTACATCTGAAGATCTTTTCAAGCTCCTCCATCCTTGTTCGGCTAAGTGCCAAACTGTGTTGTATTTCTTCGCTGCTGAATCTTTTGTTGTTAATAACTGATCCAAGAAAGCAAAAGCTGTCCACCACTTCTACGTCGTCTCCATCAGTGGTGAAATTTGGAGTCTTTCTCATTGTTAAAACCCTTATTTTCTTCATATTGAGCTGAGGACCCATCTTTTTACTCTGTTCTTTAACTTTGCTTATAAGGACCTTCAGGCCTTCTTGCATCATTCGTACATTGAGGTTATTGTTGTTTCTTCCATCAATCTTGAATTCTCAGTCATCTTAGAGTACTACGTCTCATTATGTTCAGCATACAACTATGGTGACAGCACGCAGCCTTGTCTAACCTCTTTGCCGATACTGGTTGTATGTTTGTTTCTGTTCTGTCATGACACTGGCTTGCTGACCATTGTAGAGCAGAGGACTTTAAATCTGGACCTTTAATCAAGTTTCCAGTCCTAGATTATGTAATTACTGGTACTTAACTAGACTGATGTTATAACTGATAGGCCACCAAGTGTCATGCCTACCAGTGATCAGAAAAACCAGGACAGGAAACTGCACAAACAAAATCCTGTGTAGACGTTCCACATTACAATAATGAGATCCTTTAATATAACACATTCCATAATTTAACATGGTCAACACAGTTGAAAGCTTTTCTGTAGCCAGTGAAGCATAATGATTTCCTTCTTGAATTCCTTGTATTTTTCAGTTATCCAGCATACAGTGTTATTAGGTCATAACTTATGATTGGCAAATCCCCCTTTTTTTCTAGGGGGGGCACCATTTCACAACAAACTGTTTTGGTCTTTACAGATGTAGACAACTACATGGTCTTTCTTGCTTCATTATATAGGTTTATTCATCTCTCATTATATAGAAGAGTACAAAACCCATAAGAAACCAGAAAAAAAATAACTTCAGTAGAAACAGGTCACCCAGGTGTAATGTTTGTAGGATTATTATATGAACTTGAGTAATATTGCCATGTACAAAAGCCTACATAACATAAACATAAAAGAAATCCATACATTTAATGTGACAGACATTCAAAATATCCCTAACATCAATCACCTGTTGCTGATGGTGGGTACAGTCATGTTCAATGAAGACATCGTTGTATTGTGGATTGTGCCAATATTTTGCTTGGCTTTCAAAGCCTCCTCTCAAAAGTGTGCATGACACTACAGCATAAACCTACATGGGCAGTTTATGGTGAATAGAATTGCAGCATTAGTGTAGGGCTCCTATGTTCTGTACACTAAATTTGAGCTGGATTTCTAGTTTTCTACACACAGATAAAGCCCATCACTGCACTAAATAGTGTCCTCTAGAGTCTCCAGTTTATAATAAGTAACACTTAAAAATGAAATCATTGATAAGGAAATTGTTAGAGTTGGGTTAAACTAAAACAAAAACCTGTTTTGCACTTTTTAGATCAAACATTTCCAAAATGCTGTCAGTTTTTCTCCACTGAAAACTACAACATGTTTAACCTGTATTTACAACACTTTACACTACTTCACTCATGTAATAGTTCATAACAGTAGTGGTGGGATTACTGCTAATTTGAATGGGACAGCTGCCATCTAAAAGTCAGTACATGTATTAGGAAAAAGTTTCTCTTTCATCCTGATATGTTGAGGATAATTTTTGCTCTTGCAAAAATGGTCTGAACTGAATTCTAACTGTCCTGCAGGAACAATCTTAATCTTAAGTCTGGTCCTGGATAGAGTTGTGCAGCTAACTGTGTTTCTCCATTTTTTTAGTCCAAATCCACTAATACGTGTCCTGAAATTAATGAATATTAATGCGATCTTTACATTCTGTTGCTTTTTTATAGCACCTATACACATTCACTACATTTATACATTGTGAGAGGAAAACAAATAGCGCAACAATTGGCACGCAGTGATCATGTTTTCACAAATATAGTGTGACATCAATACATAGGCACATTGACAAATCGTATGTCAGCAAACACAAAGACCCTGTGACCATGAAAAGCCACACAGCAGCCTCTGAGCCTTTCTATCTCCATTGATTTTGTCATATGGAGTGCTGAATATTGGAAAATGAATATGTGAAAACTGTAACTCGTGTTAACTATTTTCACATCTGTAGTACATGACCTGAGGGCTCCAGTAGTAAAATATGATCTATGCGATGTATTATTTTGGCCAGTGATTAAAATCCTCTGTATTATGCGCAGAAGGCCCACATAGCTATTTCAAACCCTGTAGATAACAAGAGTAGCTTTGAGGTTGTTCTACAGTGAAAAAAGTGCTGCACTGAAATTAACTGATTCAAATGTCTACATCATTTTAACATCAATGACATTTATTACATTAACACAATTGTTGATGTAATATACTTTATTTATGAGGAAATTGTGTATAATTGTGGACCAAGTCAATTTAATACGTCACTTTTTTCAGTCTACTCTTTGGTGGATAATGGTTGCAAATATGGACCATCTTAAAGGAGTTAGCTATGATGAAAGTTAGTTTTTATTTAACACTGGCAGTATAGAGCAATAGAGCATGTGTGTGATGCAGTATGAATGATGTAGAGGGTAAATCGGCAGCCTAGCCTCCTCAGTTAACGTCAGATACTGCACCCACATTTACATCTACAATACATGTATATAATTTCTAGATATTAATTCGAGAATTAACATGAATACGGCATGTGTGTGATCACAGTATGTATGAGATAGAAGGTGAAGATGAGGCCTGGCTTGGTCAGTCAAAGTTAGTTATTGCACCCACATTAACATCTATAATACATCTATATAATATCAGTATTAATACATGACTATTAATATGAAATTATTTATCTGACTTTAAATACATATTTTTAGTTCAAGTACACATTTATAATGCCACTATTGCTTTATATGAATCTGTTCCACAATCACATGTAAAGACCAAAAATAGCACTACATTACTCTTTTTTTTTTGTTTTTCAATAAAAATATGTTTATATGTTTATGTAACTATGTAGCCGACCACTAGAAATAAAAATAGACTTTTTTTTAACTCACATCAATTTTAGTGCTTTAAATTTACTAAAATAACTTAACTGTATCTACAACTGATCACATGTATGTGAGCATTTAGTTTGTAGACGTGTGATTTCAGGGTTTGTGAATAAAAGAAATGCAGAAGAATGTCACCAGTCAACACTTTCATAGCTTTTTTGGTTTTTCATGGACATCTTTTATCTTCAAAAATATCAAAGAAAAAAACTAAACAAAACAATTGTTCAATAGTGATAATGACAGTGATAATTAGAATGCATAAGCACAGGCTCTTATCTATGTGTTATATTATAATTAAGGCAATGTAAAGAGCTAGAACTGTACTCACACCAGAGAACGTTTCTGGCAGAAAACTACTCTAAACCACAAAATGTGGTTCTTAAATATATATACCTTTATATATCCTACCTCTGCCTTACAAAGGAAATCCCAGAGTTATCATCCAGATAAAAACAACCAACAGAGACTGAAAAATGACACAAAATAATAACAATAATGACAGAACGTGATAAAAAATAAACAATCAGGCTATGACAATTAAGGCAAAAGGATAAAGAAAAGAAATGCTTTGGAATCAAAATCAGAAATGGTTCTTAGTGTACTGTTGTAGCTGAATGATCGTAATGATCTGAAACGAGATTTCTAAATCCAAATACTTTGGCATATTCAAACTAAACAACAGCAAAAAGAAAACATGATTTCATTAGAAGTAAGGACTAATACTGCTCTAAGCAGTGCGGGTGGATTTAAATGTGGCAGTGTTTATCTATGTGTTTATCCATGTGGATGAAGAGCTAAAGTACAGAGTGGAGGTGTAATCTCAGCTGGGGTTGGGGGATCAGAGTTACAACAATAGAATGGAAAGTAAACATTTTAGTGTGATTATGACATAATTGAAACCACAATTAATAACACTGATCTAATTCAACAATAGCAGTGTTTTATGCACATTCTGGAATTCTTATCCCATCAGAGAATCTAAAGTTGCAACTCCATTGGAAGTGGAGGCAGTACCAAGGAGTAGAGCTGAATGCCTTTACATAGAGAACAATGCAGACAGGCAGTTGAAAATAAAGGACTGCTACACGACACTGAAGAGATGCATTGAATTTACTTGACGCAAAAGTGTAAATCCGTTCCTATGTGAGTAAAATATATTACAATAACACGAATACTACCACAAGTAAGTCAACTGAAAGACAAAATTGTGCAGGTGTAATATAATTCATTCCTGTTGAAAAAACTCTATATGTTACAATCAAGTACATTCAATGCTTTGCTTTTTTCAGCGTTTAGCATCAAGGTTAATTCTTATTCGCTCTCTCCTCTGACCTCTGGCTCTATCCTCCAATACCATCCCTCCTTAAACACCAGCCGATGTGCAAATCAGAATGGTGTACTAGTGTGTGATTCATGTTTTTTCACCCATGTTTTCCAGTAGAGTATGTGTCAGACTGGCACCCTGCTTCATGTTTATGTGTATGCACGTTTTGTGTTTGTGTTCAGTAATCAGCGGATTTTGATGTCTCCCCCTCATCTGCTCCTGAGAGAGGGGCAGTCTCCGTCTTCATTTCCATCTCCTCTCCACAGCACTCCTCTTTTTTCTCCTCCTCTGCTGGGTACACAACTACGCAGAATTTCTGACCCAGGTACGTGATCTTATCTGCAGGGAAAATGGTGAAGAGAAAATTCAAAATACTATTTTTTTTTCTCCAGAGAAAAACAGTGTTTTATCCTGCATTGTGTTAGTAAATTAACCCCTTTATGATGTGTTTACATGGCACTAAAAATGATTAACAATGTGAGGTACATTAGAAGGCAGAGGTTAGCCAGTTAAGTTTTGCTTTGTTTACAAGTTGGCTTTGATAAAACAACGTTGTTCCGTGCCTCATAGTGGTATGCGACTGATGACAGCTTGTAGCCATGGAACACCAGAGAAAATGGATGATTATCAATAAGAAGAGAGCTTTAGTAGTGTCATTTGCTTGTTAATTTGGAAACTGGAGAAAGATGCTCTGTACTCCTTAAATTTTTTTTGTTGTATAATGCTTTAACAATGAGTAATTCAGCTCCCAAAACATCAACATCCAGTTCATTATAGCATTAGCGTTGACGGAAAAAGTTGCTGCTTTTACCCGTGGTGGATTTTTCTATCACTGCTCCACTGAAAACAACAGAACAATCGACCATCTACTGTCATGAGGAAATGCACAGAGCTAGATATTACTCTTAACAGCAGCAGTCTGCATTTACTCTTATTACCATAACATTATCACAGAGCAGCAAGGGACTGTAATCTTTGTTGCACTTACCCACAAACGTGTTGAAGCACTGAGGCTTGTTATCCCAGTAGACACCCAAGAAGTAGACAGGCACACCAGTGAGCATGATGGCCAGACCAATGCCACACACCACAGGCTCAGAGTAGAGAGAGAAAATCAGCAGGAAGGCCCAGAACAGCAGATAGATCACCGGCCAGACCAGACTGACCTGAGATCACAAAAAAGGTTGGTGTTATACAATATTCTGTCAAATATCTCATCTAGTAGTTAACACATTAAACTGGAGGCTCATTATTCAGTTATTGATCATAGGACGTAATATTTTGTAACTACTATGAATTATAAAGTAACTTTTTAAATAACCAATTATGAAACTAATATGTAAGTTATCTTGTTTTGAGAGTTGATTAAATTAAATGTGTACCCATTTACAGGCAATTACAGTTTAACCCATTAAGGCCAAGGCAAGGCAAATTTCTGCAGTTTAATACTACTCTTCTCTATTCATAACTGGATTTTTCTACAATATTGCTTTTGTAAAGAGCTTAATTTAAAAAATCCATTGATTTTTGTCTGTCAAAACTACCATTTTGAACACTTTGAAATTGCATAAACAGAAATATGTCACACATCATGTTTTATTGTTATTCTGATTAAACAAAAGCTGAATTGCAAATTGCCCTCTGAATGAGCTTCCTTGGAAACTATCACAGTGCATCAAAAATATATGAAGCTGTGTGCATCTTTTATATAATGATAAGAATCCAATTCCACATACTGATACATTTTACTATGACCAATTCGAACTGAAACAAGTTAAAGGGAACATTGCCAAAGTCTCTGAATGTATCGTTGATGAGATAGCTGGCATTCAGCCCCTTAGTTTCATATTCAACTCTATATAATTGCTATATCAGCTCCTAAGGACAATTGGTCAGAAGCTCAGCTCCTGGAGGCCCAATAAACTGCATTGTTTTCACTGCACCAACATACCAGGGGTCTGTCTCACAAGGCAGGATTTATGGCTAGGGCAGCTTATCTCATGATGGTGGATCACTTTTTACCAGGATACACTGCAATGGTAACTTATGCTGCATGCCTAACCTGCTCAGAGGCAGGTTAATTTCAGGATTTCGGATCATGAACAGCTCTTGAACCAATCAAGGCAAGCTCCTAATCAATGAGGGACGATAGAGGCATACCCCTCCGGTCACTTTTTTCTTTGTGATGTTTGTGGTGTTGATCACATGAAGAATATTGCTTTTTATAGTAGGGAAAGCAAATTGTACTATATAGGTAATAAAAATATAAAGAAATTACTACTCCATTAGGCACTATTACTGTAGAGACAGTAAAAAAAAGCATTTTAATCTTTAATATTAGTTTTCCTTTATTTCTTCCTTTTTTTTAATGAAGCTCAACTCCTCCTCGTATTTGGCTCTTTAGCTGTTCATCGTAAACACATTAGGATTAATTACAGCCTGAGTATCTAAGCTGAGTTAGCTGAGAAAGTTGTTAACTCTCATTGTGTTGTTAGGTTTTGTGAAGCTGAAACTTAGGAACTCTGTCTATGTTGAACTAGCTTTGTGAGACAGGCCCCAGATTCAACTGGCTTAATAATTAGCTGATTAGTTGAATCAGGACTGGGAATGAATAACAGTGCCCTAAAGCATGCTAATGGAAAAATAGTTTTGAGTCTGAATATTTTGCTAATAAGGGTCATTATTCTCTCTTTGCACTTACTTTAATTGGTCGGTGCATGTCTGGCTGTTTGATGCGCAGTACAATCTGCCCAGCTACAGTGACACCGTAGAAGAGGTAGTTGATGAAACCCACATAGTTGATAAGTGTGTACATGTCACTAGTGCACAGCATCAAAAGAGTTGAGATACACTGAAAGGGAAAAACAAAGAAAAGGATCTGTTTGGTCATTGGGGTTAATGTTAGTGTTAGGCTTTAAAAAATCCTTATAAATCCATATAAAGATGCCTATAATTTATAATACAAATGGGTATGAAGACACTCACGGTGAAGAGTAGGGCTGGAATAGGTGTGCAGCGCCTCACATGGATCATAGCCAGCAGGCTGGGGAGATGGCCTTCTCTGGCACCAGCAAAGAACAACCTGACAGACAGAGAAAGAGAAAAAGAGAAGAATGAGGCAATTGTGCGATATTATATTCAAGAGGAGACATCAGGACATCAAGGGGACTGGGTGAAAGAGAAAATAATGAAGAGAGGAACAGAGACAGAGACTTGGAGAAGCAAGTAGAAACAGTACTACGCTATTACGACATATAAAAGGCACAAGACGACATATCTGAAGTGACCGGTCACGACTTGGGAGTGATAGACAATGATGCTGAATAGAACGACAACATATGAAAAACATCATGGGAGAATATAACATGGGTGAAACAGCGAGGAGACAATGGGCCCAAGGCGAAGGCCAGTTTGAAAACAAACTATATATGGATAAATGGATGAATGGATGGAGAGACTGACCGGGAAGAAGTGAATAGGGAGCCGTTGACTCCCCCAAAGGTGGACAGGGCCACTGAGATGGGCATGATCCATGACATCACTCCCAACAGCTTCTCACCAAACGTCTGGGAGAGAGCAAAAGAGTGGTGAACGAGAGAAAGAGAGATACATAGGGAGAGAGGGTGGAAGTGAAGGAGGCCTGTTGAATATATTTTGTTTTATGAAATCCATCTTAACCTGTGGACATTCTGTGGTCCCTGTATCTAGGTATGGCATATTGGCTGCATTTGGGAGTCAGTACAAGTATCAATTGTGAAAATGAACAATTGATACTTAGTTAGATATGTCACAAAATATTCTAAACAAAGCAAAACTTCTCAGCAACAACTAATAAATTGGCAGAAATCAATTTGATTCCAAAGCCAAAAGTATTAGTTTAAATGTGTTCTGTCTGATGCTCAGTTCTTCCTATGTCTTTTTTAATTGGTGGATAGTTTAATCCTGGCCAATCAGGAGGATACTCACCACAGCAACAGCATTGGAGGCCAGCAGCTCCTGAGGGCTCATGGCAGTGACGTAGGCAATGTTAGCAAAAACATAAACAAACGTCACCAGGGGAATGGAGATGAAGATAGCACGAGGCAGATTTCTGTACAGAGAGAGAGAGAGTGAAAAAGATAGATAAGATTAGTTGTCATGGCTGCTCTGAAGGTTTATTCCTCTAGCCATCATTTTCTTGTCATGGTAGAACCATTTTGTCACTTCTGCAACAACTGCAACAATTTCTGACCAAATTGGTGGGAAAAAAAGACTCTAAGAACCAATATGGCTTGGAAGAGATTTATGTTGTTTGCCAAGCAACACATTATATATTCTCAAATAAGTACTAATGACTAATGTTTTTTTCTGTCTGGTTTAATCAAGAAAACTGGGTTAGGAGGTTAATTTGTCTCCCATTGCCCCCCTAAGAGTATCCAAAAAAATGTATATGTGCCACAGAACATATTGGATTACTAAAATTAAGCTAAGGTTAGCTATTGGCTATGACTGAGATTATCGCATGTCATGCTATATGCTGTGTGAAAATCAGACTGAGCAGAATTAGAAGTCTTACACATATGGATCCACCAGCTCTTCTGTTACATAGTTAAGGAAGTTCCAACCTCCATAAGCGAAAGAACCTTGCAGAAAAGCTAGAGCTATCAGACCAACATCGTAGTCCTGAAAAGGCTCAAAGGCATTAGCTGGCTCCAGCCAGTAATAATCGCCTGTAGAGAAAAAGAGCAGGAGAGAAAAATAGCAAAAACAATATTACAAAACAGTTTATAACAAGTAAATATATTATTGAGAAAGATCAATATTTTTCTACATAAAATAATAGGTGTTTTACAGGCCAACATTTAGTATTTCTAGGACTGCTTCTACACTATATGGACAAAAGTATGTGGACATCCCTCCTACTTGTTGAGTTCAGGTGTTTAAAATCAAGCACATAGCCATGTAATCTCAATAGACAAACAATGGCAGTAAAATGAGTCATCCTGAAGAGCTCAGTGACTTTAAACATGGCATTGCCATAGGATGCTATCTTTGCCACAAGTCAGTTCATGAAATTGCCCTGCTATGAAATCTGGGTTTTGTGGATGCCAGGAGAACACTACATGCCAGAACGCATATTGCTAAGAGTAAAGTTTGGTGGAGGAGGGATAATGTTCTGGGGCTGTTGTTCAAGGTTTGGGCAGTGAAGGGCAATGTTAATGCTACAGCATACCAAGACATTTCAGACTATTACATGCTTCCAACTTTGTTGCAAATTCCCACAGACTCACTCCAAAATCTTGTGGAAAGTCTTCCCAGAAGAGTGGAGGCTCTTATAGCCACCAAGGGGGGTTCAACTCTATATTAAAGCCCATGGTTTTGGAATGGAAAGTCCAAAAAGCTTATTTAAGTATGATAGTCAGGCATCCACTTACACACACACTAAAATGACTAAATACTAAATAGAGCATTATGACTGGTGAATCAATAAATGATTCCAGTGCAATATTATTACACTAATAAGGTCAAAAAGGTTTGTGGGTCATATCTCTGTGCCCTCTTTGAACTCTCCTTTCCCTCTGTCCTTCTCTATTAGTCTGTCCTCACACATGACTGGCCAACAAGCCGGTCACACACAGATGGTGGCAGTGTTAAAGCCGAAGCCCTACAAGCACGCATCAGTCCTGTTTTCTTTCTGCTTTTTAGCCTTTGATAATAGCTGTGGCTGTGGCCATATCAGAACAGTCCGTGGAATAACACCTCCAATAACACCTCCTCTGTTCCGTGATCCTATCTAATCCCCAGTGACGCTCATGCAGTAAAAACGGCATTATCAAAGCTTTTCTTCGCTAGTGGTTTTGAACTCGATGGCTTCTCTTCAAACAATAGGGGAACACTAAAAACAAGTCATTGTATGAACTGAAATTGAATATGCCACACATGTCCATTCAATTCTCTGCAGCAGGGTCAGCATAAATAGAATTGCACCTGCAGTTAATGTTGACATATTTTCAGTCTATAAGCACGTTGCTCCATCTTTTGAGTGACGATTTACAACACTTTTAGATTAGTGAGGTAAAAGTACAGAGTGGACTGAAGACAGATTCGAGCAGTAACACATGGACACACAGTCACAGATGAACAGCCTGTCACACTCTCTCGCTCTCTCTTTGTCTCCTCTCTCACTCTCACTCTCTCTCATACACAGACACATGCAGACAGATGGCTCATACCCTTGCAGATCTGCACAATGCCCATGATGATGATAAGGATGAGGGCCAGCAGTTTCCCTCCTGTGAACACATCTTGCACACGAGTGGCCCAACGCACGCTGGCACAGTTCACCCACGTCAGCAACACTAAAAAGGAAAGAGATCAGGAGGACTTTAATATACATGCTTACATACAAGCTTGTACATACAATTAATCAGCTACAGCAGCACTGATACTTCTATTTTGTTCAGTACTGTAATGCATTCTATGGTCTTTTATCTGTAGATGTGGCACATTGGCTGCATTTGAGAGAAAATGAATTATGAGCAAATGAACAATTGATATTAGACAGATATGTCAAATATTCTTAACAAGATGCAACCTTTTAGCAAAAAGACAGAATTACAGTGTTAAACAATAAAGAACATTATACCCTGAAACTGGGCTGATAAGATCGTCTGCAATATACTATCACCCAGTTGCGCCCCAAAGTCATGTGTTGACAGTCAAGCAAGAGCCACTTTCCAATAAACAGAGAGGTGACAGGTTAGGTGGTGAACCACACAACATCCTGCTTAAACCAGAGAAAATAAACACGCTTGAGTTTCTGGTCAGAAACATCTGAGCTAACTTTGTTCTTCGTATGGTTTGGTAGTTCTTGCTATGGTTTGATTAGGTAGATTTTACTATAGGTTTAATAAATTGCACAATTACAGCTCTTGTTAAAGTAATAAAGTGGCTAGCATTTACAGTGAACTCTACAGGCTTCTGCTATTGTAGTTTTCACTGTTATCGTAGCCTATAAATTATTATTGAGCCATTAATAACAATGATAGGCTTGGACCACGTCAAAATCATTTAAGCCCTTATTCATGTTTCATGAGGAAAGCCGTTCTGTGCGTGGAAGGCTGCAGCACTTTATCTGTTTAACATGCATGACCACAGTAAGAGGTTAAAAAACTTCTGCGCTATGATGCTACAGAATGTTCTGAAGCCACACAGCATGTTTATACTGATATGGACCTGGACATTTAAAGAAT